AATAGATTCCCCGCTAGGAATACCTTTAGGGGGTTTTTACAAATAATAAAAAGAACACGTGGCAGCTACAGACCCACCCGGTGTTTTTCACCGGGTGTAGCATCGAAGGAACCGTAACATTGGCATTCGAAAGTTACAGATAATATTTCATTTTTTTTTTGTTTTTTTTTGTCCGAAGCGAAAGATAATTGAAAACGAAAGTAGTAGTGATATTCATTAGTAAATATTAGTATGAGTATTAATATTGATCATTCATTATATGGTACACGCCACAACGGAAAAATCGACATGCGTACAAATTTATCATATAATAATCGCAGTATCAGTCATCGGCTTCCTCTCCATCATCGAACGACGGCAGCAGAGTTGGGCTCGGCGAAAACCCTAGCAATAAATTACGACGCGTACTATTTTTCCAATTTTGGCACCACGGCTTCTTTTTCGAATCGTTCTCTTTGACGCACGGCCCGTTTTCCTGCACCGACCACAAACAATGTGTAGAGCACTCCTCCCTCCTCAAATTCGGCGTGTAAACGCCGTAGTTCCCGAAACCGTGTTTCGTCGTATTAAAGTCGCAGTAAAACTTGGTTGTGCCCCAAAAATTGACATGGAAATGCCAAGTGAAATTTGTGCCGTAAGAAAGCCAATGAACACCGAGATCGTCCTCCGAGGAGTAGCAGTGAATGTTGATGCGCTCGTCTCGAATGTCGTTCCTTACGGTAACTCGTGTCGTTAGTATTGATGACGTCATTAAGAAGTTGTTGGCCATGAGCAAGAACATAAATGAAATTAAGGGAAGAATTTGAGTGATCTTCATTGCAGATTTTTTTGGGCTTTCTTGAAGTATAAAGGACCATACCCTTGTTGGGTTATTTATAGTGACTGAAATGTAATCAATTAATTAATAGATTAATTATTTAATTAATCTCATATATTATAGATCATCAACAAGTTACTGTCAGCTTCATCAACAAAATATTGTAGCTTATTACAGATTATGCAAATTGTGTTTATTACAACCAAGCTTAATTTTCCTTTTTATAATTTAGGTAATATTAATTTATTATAAACAAAAAAGAATTACAATTTTTTAAACTTTCAAAGCTGACTTACTGATATGAAGATATGCATGAAGATTATAATGCATTAGTTACACTAATTGTGGCATCAAATCCATATTAAGCTTTAATTATTCGGCTCAAAATTCAAGAAGTCAGATTAAAAAAATATATATAACCTCCAGTGCAATCAGCCTTTGACCCGCCTGACGAGCCGTGCCCAGAAACCAAGACCCGTTGCCACCTCAGCAAATCCAGCAGTGGGGTCCGCAAACTTGGCCCTCTCTCCAAGATCCTCGAACGAGCTCACGAGATTCTGAAGCCTTGCCACAAACTCGATCAACAGAGAAGTGAAAGTGGCGAGCGACAAAGCGCTTGCACTCTCGTAAGTCCTCGCCTCTCTCTCGTTAAAGATCGCGTCTCCGATTAAAGACAGCCTGGACGGCCACATTGTCTGCTGCCTGAGCAAATCCTCGCCGGAGCCCCACTCGGAGATTGACTGAGTTACGCTCCGGTTCGCCATGCGGGCGTCGTAGTTGCGCAGAGATGGCGGTGGGCCCGGTTGTTGGTTGATGGAGCTGAGGGACTTTATCAAGAATGGGGGCTTGTGTTCGTTGTCCTTTAGTTCTTGGACATGGTGCTGGTCGGGAACATTCTCGGGGCGCTTGGCGTTGATTCCTGCCCAGCTCTCCGCGTTGACTAAAAGATAGGATTTTTGGTCGATGATCATTTGTAGATTCTCGGCGGCTTCGTGGATGTCTTGGAGGAGGTCCCCCGGGTTGAGTTTCTCCATTTTTTCGACTTTTTCGCCGAGCAATCGGAGCACTTTAGCCCCTTCGGAACCCACTCTTTGGATTCCGTCTTTAAAAAACTGCCTTAGTTCAGATGATGCCTGAAGGAAAAATTAAAAATAAAAAACCCTGAATGGTTCGATTTTAGGGGGTAGTTTGCAAATGGAATTGAATCGCAGGGGCGATTTTGCAAAAAATAATAATGTTGTAGCTAAAAAGGACCGTAAGAAAAGCACGACGACTAAAAATTACCTGTATTTCCGACAGTATACTACCATGCATTGCCATCACCATGAAAGCACAGTGCCTCAGAGCACCACTGACTTTTACGTATTCGCTCCACGGATAATTGAACATTTTGTAGCGGCCATGAGGCGGCTCCCACACAGCAAAACTTAACTGCAAAAAAAAATATATATATATACAATTAAAACTCCTCGTTTATTTTTTTTCCGTACGGGCCATAAATGCGAAATATATAAAAAAGAGCACACACCAGCGCCTCCTCTTGACTAGTGGACTCGATCGCAGCTCTGTATCCATTGTAAAGTGGATCGTCTGAAGCTTGGTATATAAGAATTTTCGACGGTATTCTCGAGTACTCAATCGACTCCAAATACATATTTATACAACCTATAAACAAAAGACTGCAATGTAAGATTATTATCTCAAATAAACAGGAATATGTTTTTAGGCAAGTAAAAAAGAAAATCGAACCTTCTAACGAAGTGGCGACCCCTCTAAAGTTTTTGACGACGAGCTTATGCAAATCTTCGCCAGCCCAAATAGGGAAAATGCATACATTCATGACCAAGCAAACACCGGCACCGACAGCAATTAGCACTAATCGAGAAACAGCTGTTTGAGTAAAATCCGATTCCGACACTAGAACGATGCAGAACGTCAACAAGAATACCCGGAATCCGTATTCGTACTGCTTCATAGCTGGATGCAACTTCAAGTAACTTGCCAAAAAACCTGATGTTTAAAGTCGGGAAAAAAAAATCACCGATCGGGGTTTTAATTTATTAGTGGCTATATTTGGATTTTGCGTTCAATTTTACGAAACTAATTAGCTAACCTGCAATGAAAATGTTGATCACAACCATTACTTCTTTAAATCTTCCGGCCATATTCGACAAGGCAGCAATAACCAGAGCTAGTCCTCCGGCGGAAAGAGTCCCGAGTGCTCGATTAGATCCTTTGCTTAGTGTAGCACCTATACTTACACAAATCGGGATTACATTGCATACAAATCAAAATTCGACAAAATTTCCCCAATTAGTTCATAAATGCTAGCTAGTAAACAACACAATTCGATTATTGGCTAATTCAAACACGACAAAACGGAGCCCTAATTCGAATACGGATCAAACGTAAAAAATAAAATTAGAAAATAAAAATTGAAGTGCTGTACCTATGCTGAATTCGAAGACAACAACAACAGTGAGAATAGCCCAGATTGAGTGCTTGGTGATGTAAGTGGAGGGCTCTTTGAAGAAGATGAGCACAGAAACCAGAGACAAAGCGGAGCCCATTTTAGCGGCGAAGACAACTTTTCTCGGGTCGGATCTTCCCATTTCGTAGGCGCTAATCGCGGTGGCCTTGATATTCCCCCACCAATTGGAAAACTTGTCTCCGATGGAGCGATAAATCCGGCGGAGGCAGCCTTCGTTGCCGCGGACGAAGTAGGAATCTTCGAAAATCGAGTCGGAGAAGTGCTTTCTGGAAACCGCTCCTCCTCTGTCTTTGGTTTTGTCTAGAAAGCTCTGCGTCAGCGACCCGTAGTTTGCGGCCGCCATTTTTGTTGTTGATCTTATTCCAGTTTTGGAAGCATGAAAAAATAAACAAAAGAAGGAAGTTTGGATTGAATTGAATTGAATTGAATTTGAAGTTCAGTTTGTTAGAGAGAGAGAGAGAGAGAGAGAGAGAGAGAGAGTTTGATTTATTGTGGATGGTGGTTGATTAAGAGTGTGGGGGAGAGGATCTATATTTCTGTGTTCGGATCTTGATAGTGAAATGGTGTAGGGTCGATTGAAAATGGAAGTAGTTTTTGGGAAGTTGGATTTGTGTAGATGAATATTGAATAGTAGACATGTTTTCAAGTTGTTAGGTTCAACAAGCGCGCGAGTACGGAATTCGTGGTGTTTGCAAAATCTTTTACCAACTTTTGATTCTGATTCTACTCAAATAAGTAATTATTATAAACTGTAATTTGTTAAGCATCTGGAACCCATGTTTCTTATATTTAATTTAAGTTTTTAATAAATTTGTAAACAACTCTATTTTTTTAGAAATAGTCACTTGAACTTAAAATCAGCTTTAACTCACAATCTCTAACTTTTGATTTTAAATAAGTTTTTGCTCAAAAAATAAAATAAAGAAAAATGATAAGGAGAAGTGCATGAACGTGGGTTTTAATTCAATTTAATTATGTGTTACGATCTGAGAATATTCCTTATAATAATTCAAAGAAATATCAAGTGTAGAATCAATATTTGCCAGAATATTCACGTCTAATATTTCTTATAATAATTCAAAGAAAAGAAATGTCACGTCTGCAAGTGTATAATCAATATTTTTCCGTTCCTGTAGTAAAAAAAGATTTCATAAAAATTACATTGTAAGGGATTGGTGTAATATTGGAACAAACATTGGGGGATTTTCGTATAATTTAACCTAAGTTCAGGGTGTTTCGTAATTTACCATTTTGTTTACTTGTCCCCATTGGTCAACGGCTTGTTTTTTACACGCATACGCACCGTCTGATGTTGCACGATTTGATTCCCACCGTTCAATGACGTGTGGCGTGACACGAATCATTGGTCGGTTCCTAGAATTGACAAATCATTTAACAGACGTCTATCCAATAATACATAAAAGCTCTGTAATTATAAACGCCGTTAAGCAAAACGTGACAAAAAAATTAGGCAACTTTTCACAAATCAAAAATTAAAAGGATCTAAATATAATTTTGACAATGCATATCTTCTGCTAAATGGAAGAAGGTTCAAATATGTAGGAAATACTTGATTAATACGAAAATGATATAAATAAAGACAACAAAAAATTCATACATTCGGACAAAACGAAGATATTCAGTCCCAAAAAACAGAAGAAAAAACGAACATCGCCAAAATCCACGGTCACTTAAAAAAAGTAGATATCTTTCATTATGAATCAACTTATTTCTTCTCTTCCTTCTCAGCCTCGGCGGCTCTCTTAGCTCTAACACCAACATGGCGAGCATTGGTCCTCTCGAGGCGAAGCTTGTCGTAAGCCCTGAACGATTTAAGCTCCTCTGTAACCTTAACAAGCTCCACGCTCGGCTTCTCGTGAACAATTGGCAAGATTGGTCCCGAAACTTGTGTGGCTGTTGCCAATTCCTCGGGTGTAGAATCACCGGCCTAAGGAATGATCGGGAATATTTTAACAACAAAGGAAAAGGTTCTATTGAAGAATTTTTAAAAATAAAAAATAAAAAACAGTTACCTTGAACTTGCCATTGCGTCTGGGGAAGACAACGAGCTTGGCCTTGTATGTCTTTAGCCTCTGGACATTTGTCTGGAATCCCTCCAAGGAACGATTTCTGCGTCTGTGGTCGACTGAGATGCCGACAGTCGGTGCAAGTTTCTTTGGGATTCCTGCAGCCTATTTTGATACAAATTGAAACGGAAAATTAAATAAAACGAATCACATTTGGTGTTTAGCTATTATTGCATATGACAAAGCCGGAGTCGTAACTAAGATTACAAAAATCGGAAATCAAACGTAATCAGTCGATTGAAAAGGTTCACTAAGAACACTTGACAAAATTGAACATGTTTGAGATAGAAATCAATGATAAACATCAAATAAAATCCATCGAAATAAGTTCAGAAATAATACGAAAAAGTGAGCTACTGATCATACGGTGATGTAGAGAGTAACTCACCTTGAGCTCCTCAAGAGAAAATCCCTTGCCAGATCGGAGTTTCATGTTATACTTAAGAGTCTGCCCGTGCACAGTGGGACGAAGAGGTCCGGCAGGCGGCCTGGGGAAGATCTTCACGGCTTTCTTCTGTCTTGCTGAAAAAACGATACATCCAACAAATCAAGATCCAACCGTTTGCTCAAATATTACGACAACAGTCTAGAAAAAAAAAATTAATATTGCTAAGATACTTCATCGAACAAGGAAAAACAAGATCGGGAGAAGTGACTACCAGCTCGTCTCCTGGTCTTGCGTGCAGGCTGGTTGAACCAGGTCTTGACATAGTTTTGCCAGTGCTTCCTAAAGTGCCCGCTCGGGATAACGTTGTTGTGCTTCACCATTGTTTACCTAGAGTACACGAGAAATTGCATTATAGGACTTGATATACCATAACAACTTCAACCGAAACAATACAGAGAAAAGATAACGAAAAAATATGAAAAGAATCACAGTATTGTTCACGGTCGATTTCAACACTTGAGATAGAACCGTAAATTTCATTAAATTATTCACTCACACATATTCATACATTCAAAGCCACTCGAGAAACATGATAAAATAAAAATAATTCACAAATAAAAAAACTAATGACCATTTCGGAATCCAAATTTTAAAATTTCATTAAATTAATATAATAAAAGTAATTCACAAATAAAATTAAAAAAATGACCATTTTGGAATCCAATTTTCTAAAATTGAAGAAAATAAGCAAAAAAAAATCTACAAGGCAAATTAAGGCTACAAATGCCCTCAATACGAACACCCAATCAAATAGAACATGTGATATATCAAATACATCAATAAAATTCACTACTGTTCACATAAACCCAAGCTCATACATTTTCGTAAGCAACAAAAAGGAAAGAGATAAAACAATGGCGATTCTACAAAACACAAGCTAAATACATTCCAGCAAATCAACATTTCAAAGCGTGAAAGAAAAAAAATCAATTTAATTATATGCATCACTCGCGACATATATAAAAATAAGCCAAAAGCGTATGTTCGAATACTAGGGTTTAGACTCACGGCGGAAGAAGGTGGCTGACGGCTGCGACGGGCGGAGAAGAGTGGAACCACTGCAGCTAAAATTCGATTGAGGAAGACGAGTGTCTGCATTTATATATCTGCGCGAGATTAGGTTTTCATTTAGGGCTGCGATTTATGGGCCGTTTTTTATTTGAGATATGCTATTCGGGCCTTCTAGTGATGGGCCCAAAGGCAAACCCAATCAATATTTGCAATTTAATTGTTTTTTTTTTCTTTTTTTTTTTAAGACTATAAGACTTAGGTTTCAAATGTCGCATTAGGAATTTGTTTTGTATTATCTGTCATTTTAAGAAAATTGTTTTGGACAATCTATGCTGTAGATACAAAAAAAGATTGTTTCATATCATATATCACTTTAAAATCCTAGTAATGCATTCAAATGTATTTTCTTTTAGTTTTTATCGTAATTAATACAACTCTCTCAATTTTTTATTCTCTTTTATGACTTCGTTTAATTGTAAAGGTTATTTTAGTCTTTGTTACGTGTCTTCTCTACGATTCAATCATAGTTAATGTCTTTCTTGAATGTGTGTAAAAACTTTACAAGATATGTATTTCGGCAGAGAGATGGTATTAAATGATAAAAAAAAAAAAAAAAAAAAGATTTACGCATATCTCCACACTTTTAAATATCAAAATAAGAAATAATGTTCAAATTATATAATTATATTACATAATCAATACTCCACCATAAAATTGTAAAAGAATCGAGTAAGGTAGGAACTTGTTACAAAGTTGTAAAGTTTTTTAAGAGCTCCCTAAAAACTTCTTGATTTTAAGGACCTTCTAAGATGTAATGAAATGCTCTATAGAACTATTTTCGAGCGTAGTATTAAATCAATTCTACCATCAATTAGGAATGTAAAGTAATATATATATATATGCATGCAACAATTTTTCTAAATCAACCAAATACACTTGGAAACATAGTAATGCCCGTTATGTTATATCAAACCTAAAATATCGTGACAAAACATCATCTTTCCAAATTAGTTTAGTGGCCCCGATTCTTATGACCGGCCATGGATTTATATCAAACCTAAAATATCGTGACAAAACATTATCTTTCCAAATTAGCTTAGTGGCCCCGATTCTTATGACCGGGCATGGATTTATATATCTCATGTGCGAAATAAAGCTTAATAAGATCATCTTTCCAAATTTTCTTAGTGGCATAGATTCTTATGACCTGCTCTGGATTTATATATCTCATATGTGAAATAAACCTTAGTAGACCGAATTTGTCTTTGGTTTATATAGAGTAATAGGATTTATATTTTATTTAGTACTGCGATTCATAAAAATAAAAATTCCTAGTAAATTCAAATCCTTCGAATACAACCTCTTTTAAGCAGGGTTGGTATGTCCAAGTCCAATTGATTTCTTTTAGAACCATGTATGTCCAGGTCCAATTGATGTTAGGTAGTCTTTGCATGAAGAAAACTTAATTAATTCCTTAAGAAATGACTATTATGGACTTACTAAACTTCTTCTTTTGGCAAATGTGGAAGCACAAATAAAAAAGAGAAAGTATTAGAGATATTCGATCTTGAATTATGAATTATGAAAAATATAATTTATAATGAATTGGTATGAAATTCAAAGGCAGTTGAGTGAGTAAATTAACCAGAAAATAATATAAATAACATGGGAGAACAAAGGAGAGAACGAATAAAAGCAACCAAGTTTTCTCATACCATAAGTACATAATCATCATCATATAGTAAAAAGGCTAAAAGCATCAAGTACAAAGCAGCTTACACAAGTAGCATATAACATTAACAAGGATGCATACAATATAACTCTCGTTTGTACATACACACATATATATATAGAGAGAGAGCCTATTCAAGAGTACACACCAAGATTTTATTTATTTTGAGATATGTATATATATAGTTAGGGCGTAATAATACGGTACTTTCTTTCTAGAAATCAATGTTGAACCGGCTTGTCAAGGTCCTCTAGAGGGCGGAAGAAAGCCTTTTGCTCCAAAACCGAATCCGAACCAGCACTCATATGTAGACCACAGTGGTCACCACTAACCGTGGTTAGCTTGTGGTCAGCTGCAGGGCCAAACACTCCCGTCTGAGGGTGAGGTGACCAGTATTTCTCCGATTGTGGTCTGATTAAATCATCGGGGACCACACCCGCGTGGACATGCTCCTCAACGTTCTTGTCGTAAACCGATACGTGCACACCCCTTCTGCACATAATATATTCCAATCAATTAAAAAGATAGAACTTGTTACTTAATTGCCATTCTTTCTACAATTTCATTACGTAAAGTTTATATATATAAAAGGGTTGTTGATAAATGATAGCACACCAAAGTTGGCTGATTGTCACATATGATGGATCTTGAATAAGGCCAACAAAACTTTATCAAATTTAATAATGAAAATAACACCACACCCTCCACATTTTCCACGCATATATATATATATATATATATATATATATATATATATATATTCTTTCTAATGCAAGGAAGCAATAAACAAAGACCAGCCATATACCTAATCAGACCAAATTGAGGCTTGCAATATAATGATAAGTTGATTGTGCCGAAAAAAGCTAAACGTAACAAAGATGGAAAAATTAGATGGCAAATCATAAAAGCGACGGTGCTACAAAAATCTACGCAACAAACTCCTACCGAAAAGTTTGATATCCGACCTACCATTTCCGACTCGACCCTACCACAATTATAGGTCAATGATCGACGGATCATCCGATTCAACTTCAATAAAATTAATGGCGAAACTTGCAACCTACACCCTTTCGTTTTTCTAGATACACACACAAATGAGTTAAAACATCTTAGCTAACAATCAACAATTCAACATGAAAATTTGAGAAATGAGAATCAAATAAACTTATGAAAAATCTAGAAAAAAATTACACACCACCACCACCCGGCCCCGTGGGGGCCGGGACCAGGATGCCTTGTCTTTATCCAAACCAACCTACCAAGTACGGAACGAAATTTCTTATTTTATTCTGATTTTGATACCAAATAGTAGGGCTGTGCATGGATCGGTTTTAACCATCAACCAACCCATTTTCGACCCATAATTTGTGATGGTTAATCAACCATCAACCGACCCATTTAAGTTGGGTCGATAATGTCAACCAACCCATGTATAGTTGGGTCGATAATGGTTTCTAATATGCTAAAAAGTTGGTTAGTCGGTTAATATCGGCCAACCAACTTTATTCATTAATTTATTATTTATTAATTTTAATTAAAATATTTAAAATTTTTAATTTCAAATTTCTATTTCATATCACATTTATTAAATTGTTTAATATTGACCAAAATCCTAAAAGCAATAAATCTAACCTAATTATCTAATTTGAACTATTTTAATTTTAAGACATACAGTCTAAATATTTGGACGATTATTATTTGTTGAACTATTTATGTTTAATTGCAATATATATGCCCGTAATGTTTTGAATCTTTTATTTGAATATTATTGAACTAGTCGCATTTAATTTATAAAAGATATAGCGTTGTAACAAGTAATAAAATATTAAAAAAAATTAAAAAATATTTAGATGGATGACCCATCAACCAAACCACCAACCAACCCATTAAATTGGTTTTCAACCATCACCCAACCCATGTAAGTTGGGTCGATAACGGTTTCCAATATTTACCAAAGTTGGTTGGATGGGTTGGGTTGGTTTTATGCCTGGTTTTTAACCAAACCAACCAACGCACAGCCCTACCAAATAGTAATGATAATAAAAAAAAAAAAAAATCACCGGGTGAAAAGAACAATAAACATCACTATTTTTCAGCCGGCATGTTTGAGCATATAGTAAAAGGAAAATAGTGGTGTAATTAATTCAAATATGAAACCAGAAAATTATTACACCAAGGAAATTTAAGAAATAAATAGTACTGGATCTTTCCGTTTTGCTACTGCCTAAATCTAGAGAAATCCAAGTGCTTAAGTTAGCTTAACCGAGATCATTCATAAGAAAAATCACTAAAATATCACCAAACAGGAAGCAAATTATTCACACAAAATTAGCCATTACTGATTTGCAATAAATTCAAATCCATAAAAAAAAAAAGGTGTACGATCAATCTCCCAAAATCGTTGATCGTCGCGAACATCAAATAATCAACGTCAGAAATTTTGTCGCTAAAAAGTAAATGCAGCCAAAAAATTGGAACAGAGAAAACGAATATATATACGTACAGAAGTACAAATATACGTACACACACACACGCACCTGAGAGAGAGGAAAGGAGCGCCGGCGCCGGCGACGGAGTAACGAGAACGGATCTGGCCAACAAATCGCTTTCCGAAACTCGCCAGTGCGCGGCTCTGCAAATTAGCTGCCATACAAATGATAAACTTTCTCCTTTTTTTTTTTTTCTCCGAGGTAAAAAAAAAATTAATTATTTTTTTGAAGAGTTGTTGAAGAACGAAGAGATTAAAAGTGATGACTGTGGAGAAAATGTGAAGGAGAAGAGCCCCTATTTATAGTGAAAAGATGAGGAGGGACTTTCAGCATGACTGTTGTGTGACTGTGTTTTTCTTTTTCTTCCGGTTTTTTTGTCACCCAAACAAACCTCTCTCTTTTTCTCCACCCGGTTCGTACCTACCCCGTCACACGGTCCGAACGGCGCCGTATTAGTTAACGGAATTGTGGAGGTACTGTTTGGCTGATTCAAAACTGACGTGGATTTTCATAATAGTATTACATATTTTGTCTACATTCTCAATATGATTTTCCCAAATTATGTGAACTTCAAAGTAAGATTTTTGATTTTGTACATATACATATAATATATAATTTTATTTGAAGTATAAGATTCTGTACATCTTAATTGAAAGCTAAAGTATTATTGCCTTTTAATTTACAAATTTAATCACCTTTAATGTAGAAAAATAATCTAGACATACCGTATAAAAATGAAATATTTGGACAAACTCGTTCATATTTAGAGTGTAAAAAATTATTGGATATATAAAATATTGCTTCAATCCGCTCTAACCAAATGTTAAATTATACTTTAGTTTAATAAAAAAGAGTGTATGTCCTTCGATTCTACAAAATAAAAGTGTGTTAGGTAATGCATCGAGATTGTCCCCGACCGACACGGGCGGCTGGCTACTCAAATTATTGAAAATAAAATCAAGTTAGTCGATCGATTGATGAGTAGACTAATGTTCGATGATGTATTTATGATTAGGGTGAAAAATCAAATCAAGTTAGTCGATCGATAATCAATTTGAGATCGTTCATTAAAACTTTTTTGAGTTCAGTTTGTTAATATAGCGAATCAGACCTAAACACTTATTAGAAGAAGAAAAATATATGTACAAAAAATCAAGTTATTCAAACCCGATCTGGACGGCCCGATTATAAGCCCATTTGAACTCAACAATTGATTGTTCCTCAAATCAAGTTCAAACTCAATTTTAAAAGTATGATAAAAATTCAAGCAAACATGAACAAGTATGCGTTCGACTCGACTCGACTATGCTCATAGTTCTGTTTTTTTAGGATAATTTATTTGGAGAATTCAACGTGGACAAATGTGGGATCGGACAAAGTTGAGTCAAGTTGGTTTATTTGGGCTTAATGTGGATGAACCTATCACTTATAAATATAAAGTTTTTATTTGATAAATAATTAAAAAAGATATATATAGTTATAGATCAATTTTTTTGTCAACTATTTTATGCTGACAAATAAATCCAACGTGAAAGTCATGCTAGATTACGTGGATCTTGTAACGGCGTTATCTTTGCATTGGAGTATTTAACTACCGCCTACCCTACCCGTAGCGTTTGGTGAGTACTTTGACGATATTGTCCTTGTATAGAGGAGTTAATTCCTCTTATATAAAATCCATGTGAAAATTAATATAGAAAATCAGTAATTGATTTTCACATGTATTAATTAAAAAAAAATATTTTTTTCATTAGAAAAAGCATTTATAATTATTTTCAAACACTAATTTATTATTATCATTATTTATTTTTCAAGCCTTTGGCTTTTGATAGGTACAAAAAAAAGTATAAGAGAATATTCCCTAGGATATGAATGGAATAGATACCTTACTTAAAAGTTAACACTGTTTTTGTTCCCATAAAAATTGTAAAGTCAAATTGAAAAAAAATAGAAATAAATGAGTGGTTTGAAAACTTAAATGAAATATAGTTGTCCCCCATTTCCATGCTGCAATGGAGAAGAAATAAATATTATTTTAGAAAATTCAGTTAACTCGCAAATAATTTATAATTTATCTAGTGATGGATGTTGATGTGGTACGATTCTACGTCATGTTTTGCGATTCCTCCATCGCACTTATTGATTCATTGCGTGGACACTACCTACATCACGAAAATTCGTTAGGGCCCCGGGATTTGTCCCGGTGAAAACCCTCCGACGCTCAAGTCAGCTTTCTATGATAGAAGAATTTAGAAAGTTCAAGAGACTGTTCGGGAGTTATGAATTGCATACCTTTAATTGTGAGGTTTCCAGGTATTTATATGGAGATATATATTCTCATGGGCCTAAGGCACTAAGCCATTTAATATGGGTCGACTTGGGCCTAACTGTTTAGATCATGCCAATTTAGGCCTTAGCCGACTTGAGTTTGTATTATTATCTTTAGTCGATTTGAGCTTGGTATGTGTGCCTCTATGGGTTTGTAGATATAGGCCTTTGGGCGTGGACCCATCAGATGTTATTATGAAAAAATCTCTCTTGTTTGTGTAATAATAATTACCCTCCTCAATTATGTATATTCTTACGAAAAAAACATTCATTCAACAGATAAATTTGACATTATAAGGGTGGACATGTAAAAAACTTCATAGTTAATGGGGCTAATTGATATTATCAAAACATAAGAAATTTTCTCGTAACTTGACCTCACAATCTTTATTGTTTTCAACTTGGTAATACAATGTTTGACCATATAAAGATAATTATAGATCATGTATATAATAAATAAATAAATAAAAAATCCTACGATCCACACTCAAATCTCGTGTGCAATAATTCTTCTCATTTCGGATCAACTCGTTAGCTCGTACATCTCGTAAATTACCATCATTCGAGCTCTTGTTCGATTCAAATTAAGTGATTTCACATCAAGAATTGATCAAACTAATTTGAACTCCAATGTTAGTATAAAAGAGCATCCCCAATAATCTTTTGCTAACATAGCATCCTAAATGCGATATATATTATATCTAGTGAGTACTAATTTATCGAGATTCTATTGTATCTAGCTATTATTTAGCAATTACCAAATTATTTTGCCAATTGTTACTACATTTATTTATTTATGACTAATCGATTGTTGAATCGAGCTTTTCTACTTTTGACTTTTAGGAACAATTTTACTAGGTGGGCATGAATGAGACCACCGACCATGACATATATAAGGTAGAGTCTTGATTCAGATTTTATCTCATTTAAAATTCAATTAAACCTAACTTTTGCACAATAATTAATTAACTATTAAGGTATGTATTTGGTGGCGTTCGTATCATTATAGTATTATTTAAGTTAGTGGCCTAATTTGAACTTTGAAGACCTTTGGGGGTAAAAAAGGTAGACTTTATTTGCTCGTTTTACTTGTTTTCTTCAACTTTTATTTTTTTTATGGATTACATCCATGGAATCAAATCCGTGGGTTTGAAAATAGTAGGCTCGTGTATTTTTCAGGCTTCAGATTTATATCGGACTTATATGGATCAATATTTAAATAACTCAAATTCGACCCGACTTGCTAAAAATTAGGTTCACCTCAAATATAATCAGATCTACCCATCGGGCTTCGGTTGGACTTGGCTCAATTGCCGGTCCTATGTCTAGTAGGATTTACATCTTTTATGTGTTTTGTTAACTATTAAAGGAGAATAAAAATTTACACACTATAATTTTATGGCTGCGGTTATATGCAAGACTAAAACCACTTGTGCAAGACGAAATTAAATTTTTCAATGTATAAATACTATAATACCCTTATTTGTTAAAAAAATAGAAAATTCCAAATGTGCAAGACCAAAAATTCAAAAACACAAAAAACCCTATCACAAGACCACAAAACCACAAGACCAACCCTCATCTTCTCCATCTTCCAAAACACACAAGACCTTTCTCCTTTCTCTTGCATAAACCCACAAAACCTAAACATTCAAAATCATCGAAACTCAACAAATCTTACAAAGATGGTTAGTATGGAGTCATAATACATCAAAATAGAAGATTCTACGGTGGAAGAACCCAAGAATGTATGCATTTATGGGTTTTTTTAGCTAGAATATCGTTTTTCCAAAAAAAATTCCGCGCAAACGAATTCGACATGTACAGGTCGAATTTTATGGGTAAAAATCGACATTTAGATGTCGATTTTTAGGCATAAAATTCGACATTTAGATGTCGATTTTTAGGCATAAAATTCGACATTTGGTAATGTCGAACTTGTGCTATAAATTCGACATGTCAATGTCGATTTTTGCCTATAAAATTCGACGCTTAAGTGTCGATTTCTAGCACAGTTTTTCGACACCTTGATGTCGATTTTTACCAGTTTCAGATTTAATTTGTTTTTCCTCCTTTTTTGTAAGATTGGGCGGCGGCGATCGGTGGTAGAGCTTGGGCGACGGAATCTTGACGGCGAAGAAGGTGGACATAGGTAGGATTTGAGGAGGGGGTTGTTTGTTTTTTTTTAATTCACGCATCTTTTTTTTTTTTTTTTTTTTTTTTTTTGGTTTTTTTTCTCATTGTTTGTATTTGGTCTTGCATGAGAAAAAAATAACAATTTAATTTATGGGTATATTTGTCATTTCATCTTAATAAAATAGAATCTTTTGGAATCTTTCTTTAATTTGGTCTTGCATAAGTAGTTTTAGTATTGCATACAGCCGCAGCCTAATTTTATGTAGGCACTTCTTCGTTGGGCTTTGATATGGGTTTTTATTTGAAGCATTTATAATTTTCCTTAATGAATTTTACTTGGGCCTAAGCCCATCTAGGCATCAATTTCAATCATTTTAGGTTCCTACGGAATTTTTTAGAATATATACTTGTAAAATTAAACTCAAAATATATATTATAGCTTTAAATATACTATTTTCTAAATAAATATTTTTAAAAAAGGGGTAATATGTCTCACCCCCTTAAACCAAACTTAATTAGATATGAGTGACAAACTCAAATAAAATATTTTAACTACATCCCTATTTTAAAATAAAAATTGATACACATCCTTCGATTTATGTTTAACCCAAAAATACCCTTACAATACCTAATAAAAGTCACGTGTCTCTTTTTTTTTCCTTATTTCTTTCTCTCTCTCTTCCCCACTATCTTTCTCACGCCGACATAGCCGCTCAACATGTTCTTCGACATAGCCGCTCAACATGTTCATCCTCTGGTTCGTTCGTTCGTTTTCTCTCTCTCTCTCTCTCTCTCTCTCTCTCTCTCTCTCTCTCTCTCTCTCTCTCTCTCTCTCTCTCTCTCTCTCTCTCTCTCCTGATCTCTCTCACACACGTCCCCCCCCTCCCTTCCTCCTGTTTTTTCTTTTCAATTATAGTGAAATGATGAAGGCTATGATGGTGGTTATTGTAGATGGCGGCTGCTATGATGGCGGCGGTTATGGTAGGCGACGACGGCTATGGCGACGCTCGGTGTAGGGGTTGCATCAGGAGGCTCTGTGATGGCAGGCTCGTTGTTTGCTTGCAACCAACAGAGATGAATCGTGAAGATGGATCTGAGTGTGGGGGGATGGAGAGGGGGAGTAGTGGCGGTGGTGGTGGTGGCCGCGGATCAGATTTAGAGTTTGGTGGGGAAAATTTAAAATTTTTCGATTTAGATGTCTACAGATGTCTATGAGCGTCTATGGGTGTCTACGGTGTCTGACGGCTAGGGTTGAAAGGAGTTAGGGTTTCAAGATGTTTACGGGTTACTATGGATTACTACGGTTTCTACGGGTTTCTGTAGATGTCTACGGCAAAAAAAAATTAAAAAAATCATAATTTTCAATTTATCTAGAAAAGAAGGGGGAAAAATAGATTTTATATAATGAAAAAATACGAAAAATGAAAATAAAAAAGCAAAAAAAGAAAAGAAAAAAGAAACCATAATTTTTTATTTTATGTAGAAAAGGGGAAAAATAGATTTTTATATAATAAAAAAATATGAAAAAAAACGTGTTCCACGAAAAATAAAAAAAAATGGTAGATGCAAACTTAAAAATGTTAAATAATATCATAGTTCATCATAGTATATTTATAATTTGCTGTAATTTTGAATTTGTGAGTAAAGGGGCATTTTTTGGAATAAATTTAAGAAAGGATGTGAAACAAATTTTAATTAGACTTGTCATTTAGTTCTAATACGGTTTGTCACCAGGGACTTATATCTTAAGACCCCTTAAAAAAATACTCCTAAAATCTGCACAAAATACAAAATAATATACTTTTTAAATACTGCAACACATATATATATATATATATATATTATCTAATAAAACACTTTTTTATAAAATACAAAACAAACAAAAATCTTGTATAAAATATACAATAATAAAATTATAAAACAAACTAACCATATTTTGACTTGTAAATTAGTTGATGTAATATAATTAAGGGCAAAATACACTTTATCCCCTTGTACTATGTCCTATGTAACACTTACCCCCCTGTACTATGAAAAATACACTTACCCCCCTATTTTAATGGTCAACCTATTTGACTCTTAACGGTGTTGTTAGTAGTAAAATAAATTTAATATATTTTTATTCTTACTAAACGACACATTTTCTTTACTTCAAAAAATATTACATGTACTACGAAAATATTAAATAAATATTTAAGATAGCAATTCTTTTTTAAAATTCGGATTAAATATAATTTACTTGTTAAATATTTATTTAAAAAAATTAATATTTAAACAGTATAATTTTTCATGTATTATTTTATACAACCAAGTAGCAAGTATATTTTTTCATATTCTGAGTTAAATTATTTAACTCGTTAAACATTGTGTACATTGAATTTTAACATTTATTTGTAACATTAAATTTCGTATAGTTAATCCTAAATGTAAAAGGCTTAAATGAAATTTGATGTTACAAATAAATAAAATAAATTATTAGCATATATCGTTAAAAAAACATTACCGTAGAATTACAATTTTTAATATAAATATCTAATGATTAAATATTTTAATCCTATATGTAAAATTTTATACATGTTAAATACTTATTTAATATAATTATCCACAATGAAAAAATATTTTTTTAATAAAAATTAGGTGTCCTTTCTTATGAATTATTAAAAAATATATTGAATTGAAAAAGTAATAATATTTGTCTTATTTAAATTTAAAAAATATTATTATCTTAAATATTTATTTAATTTATTCATAGTACATATATTATGTTTTTAAATAAAAAATTTGTTATTTAGTAAGAATTATTAAAAATATATTAAATTTATTTTACTTCTAACAGCGTTAAGAGTCAAATAGGTTGACCATTAAAATAGGGGGTAAGTGTATTTTCCATAGTTCAAGGGGGTAAGTGTTACATAAGGTATAGTACAAGGGGGTAAAGTGTATTTTGCCCTATAATTAACGGCCAATTGTCTCTAAAAAATAAAATAATAGGCTAATTAATGTTATTTATCTGCTACTCCCTCCTTCCCTCATTATGTGTCATTTTTGTTAGTTGCACACATATTAAGAAACTCAATAAATATGTATAGATAGTAGCAAAAAGTATAGTAAATCACTAAAATGCCCATGCCATTAATTGATTTTTAAATAATTATATTTTAATTAATTATGAGTGAGAAAGGGCAAAATTGAAAAAAATGCAATTAATTATTTATTGGAATAGTAAAATGACAAATAATTTGAAATATGAAAAAATGGCAAAAGTGACAAATATTAAGGGAACGGGAGTAATATCTTTACGAATATCAAGAAGCCAGAGGGACCATTTATTACTATTAATAAATTAATAAAGAAAAAAAAAAAACACTTGATTTTGCTTCCTTCTCACACTTTTTGTTCTCAACCAGAGATTTCGTCTTTTCAAGTGTTCCTTAAAGCTACCATCTCTTTAGTGAGAGAAGAGAGGAGAGAGAATTTTCTAGAGAGAGAAAGTAAGATGGAGAGAAAAGTGATTGTGGTTTGCTGCGTTGTGGGCTTTTTGGGGCTTCTATCCGCCGCTACAGGTTTTGCTGCTGAAGCTAAAAGGATTAAGGTATGTGCTGATTAAATTATTAGTTATTAGCTGAAGATGTGGATTATTTTATATATATTTGTTATCAGATTTTACTGTTTGTTTGTATCTATATATGTATGTATGTATGTATACATTGTTTTTTTTTTGTTTAGTTTTCAATTTTTGTTTGTTCTTTGTGGCGTTTTAGGTTTTGGAGAGTTGTGGCTCATTCTATTAATTTCTGTTATGAATAATCTTATTTGGGTATAAGAATTACTGAATTAGGGCCAAATCTTTAATTAAGTAGGTTTACATAATTGTTAAGAGCAGCTGGCTTTTCCTTAGTATAGCAATTAGGTCTCGATTTGTTCTGCTTTAGTGATGAATGTTTCGATTTAGGTTTTCAAATTTCCAATTTTGCATAGTTTGAGTCTTTTAACGGTTGGGAATTTGATAGATACCGCTCTCGTATTGGTTCCGTAGTAAATATTTATGCTGGTTGTATGATTCTTTAGACACGGGGAAACGATCGATTTACGGACAGCCTATCAAATGATCACGCAAAGCTCATTTAATATGAACAATACGACACTTCATTTGCTTGTTGTACGGATGGTCAGAATAATAGTCAATGACCTTTTTGTACATATGAATCGCGGTAATTTTTTTGTTAAGAAACATGTCGGGTAACTTTTGAACTTGGGGTGTTGGGTTTACAACGCGCTTGTGATTTCGTAATTGCAACCATTTTGTCGTGTCTAATTCACAACTTGCATGCGTGTCGGAGCTTTTTGAGAGTCAGTGGCACAAAATGTAAATAATAGTACTATGGTGGTTAGCAGTTATCCACTACATCGGTCATAAACCAATACTCATAGGCCTTGTTTGGGAATAAGGATAAGACTTGATAAACAATATAATCTAGCTTTATCGAATGTTTCAGTTGAGGTTTGTAAGCATATAATTAAAAAACGAGCCCTAATTCCAAACTCGACCCCTACTACACAATCTTGTGAAATGATTGTATAATAACATATTACATTCACTAGAAAAAAAAAATCTTTTTGAGTGACAACACCTATTTCTCACATAATTAGGCAAAAAGTGTTGTCACTATGCTTGTCACTAACGGGGTGTCGCTAATGCTCTATTTAAGTGACAACAAAAAGAGCTATTAGTGACAATAAAAAAAAATGTTGTCACTTAATGTGTACATTAAGTGACAATTTTTGCATTTGTCACAATTGGGGTGTCGCTAATGCAACTTTTTCTTGTAGAGATTATCATGGACAATATAATCCTAACCAATTCAATCAATCTTATCAATCCCATCAACATTCCGAAACAAGACCGACCATAAGGTTTGTTTCGAATTAGTTACGATTTGATCACTTTATTGTTATGCAGAGTACCCAGGTCGAATTTCCGTCTCCCTCTGAATGTATATACCCGAGAAGCCCTGCACTAGTCCTTGGCTTAACTGCAGCCGTCGCTCTAATGATCGCTCAAATAATCATCAACGTTGCAACGGGGTGCATTTGTTGTAGAAAAGGCCCACATCAATCAAACTCTAATTGGACCCTAGCCCTTATCTGCTTCGTCGTTTCTTGGTAAAATATTTCATAATTTTTTTTTAATCTACGTAAATTTGTATTTATTTATTTGTGGGTGATTTACCGTGTGCAGGTTTACATTTGTGATAGCGTTTCTTTTGCTGCTAACGGGTGCGGCTCTCAACGACCAACACGGTGAGGAGAATTTGTACTTTGGCAGTTACAACTGCTACGTTGTGAAGCCGGGTGTTTTTGCTGGAGCTGCTGTGCTGTCGTTTGCGAGTGTGTTTCTTGGGATAATATATTATATTACGTTGCATTCGACGAAGAATAGGAACGATTCGTGGGGCCCATCAGTTCCTCCCTCTCAAGGCGGCATTGCGATGGCTCAGCCGCAGTTTCCTCCTCCTCGAGATCCTCTGTTCGTGCATGAAGACACTTACATGAGGCGGCAATTTACTTAAATACCCTCGTTATTTGTTTTGGAAATAGTACATAGGTAGTGAAGGGATATGTTTATTGAATTTGATGGATTGTTTGTTTCCCTTTGTTAAATTGTGTGTTTATTTTGTTGTATTTTTTATGTGAATTAGTAATTTAGCTTTGACTATTAAAGCTATAAAGCTAATATGTCAATTGTTCAAGTTCTGCTCTTTCATGGAACGGATTGAAATTAACATTTTCGGAAATTTCCAAATTTTTTCCAAAATTTTTGGAATCTAAATATTCATTCCAATTTTGGAAATTTCGGAAGTCAAGTCACATAAATTTTAACATTTTTTATGATAAATTATATTATTTTAAAAACAATTATAACGATTCTAATTGCATTAGACACCTATTTTCAATGTCACCAAATTATAAACCCTCAAAATGATTAAGCCGAAACTTTGAAAGAAACTAAGGTTGTTTTTACATGAGAAATATCAAAGAAATAAAAACATTTAATTTATTTTACACTAAGGTCTCGTTTGGTTGGAGAGATTAGTCATTATTAACTAAATAATAGGACTTCGTTTGATGTTTGGTAACCTCAATAACTCGCAAGGTTGACCCGCAAATATTTGTTTATCATAATAATTTATCTTACTTTTCATACTTTTCAGGGAATTTTTTTGTTTGTTGGACGTCCCGAAGTCCAATAAAATAATTGAGTTTTCACTAAATTATTTAACATTATTATTATCTTGACTAATCTTATTTAGGAAGTTAATTGGTGTATTTTTTTGGAAAATAATCTGTATTTTCGGAATTAATTAGGAAGTTAAATAAAGTCTGAGATCTGGAAAATGAAAAATTAAAAGCAATTCTTATTCATTCATAGTATGAAACTCTTCTTGTCACGAGGAGTGACTAAACAACCATTACAATTGATATAATTTACATCATCATCAATCCTGAAATCATTTAAAAAATAATAATTAAAAAATTCTTCAGTTTTGGTATAAGTATCTACAACATTCTTCCAATAGCAAAAAATCATTTATCTAATTCGGTTCAAGTGAGCAAATGGTTCCGAAGTTGTCTTCGGTGCAGGCTTAGCAACTTCAGGCGTACCGAACACGTTCCAGAATCGCAGAGTTTCATCCCCTGCTGCAGATGCAACTGTGCATCCATCTGGACTCTGTATATATTATAAAAAGAAAATAAAAAATACATGGTTAGAGATGCTGCCATCAAATTTCACACGATACACGATACGATAGTAACGATGATAATAATAACTACCTGAGCCATGTAAAGAACACGAGAAGTATGCCCGGTGAGCTCCGCCATCTTCACCATGGAAGGATACTTCCAAAGAGTGAGCTGATTCTGCGTGAACCCATGCGAGCTAAGCAGTTCCCTCTCGTTCTTGTTCCACAAAAGCGCACACACCTGCGAGCCAGTGTCGACCGAGTTCAAACAAGCACCCGTATGCGTGTTCCAGAACTTTATACACCTGTCACCGCCACCACCGCCGCTAGCCAACAAGTTCGCCTGAAAGGGGCACCACGCAAGCGCCTTAACAGCCGCCGTGTGCTCCTCGAGCCTGTGGAGCCACTGCGTCGGAGCGTTCGAAGAAGCCATCGACCTGTCCCATATGTGGAGGAGATTGTCATTTCCGCCGCTAGCTAACTGCTGCCCTGAAGCCGACCATTTAAGACCGCAAACTTCTTGATGATGGCCCGAGTAAGTTTCGACTACGTGGTCCCTCACTCGTACGTCGTTGTTCACGATCCGACCGTCCATCCCACCGGTGGTCAGGATGTGGTTGTTCCAGTCCATCGCACCGACACGCGACACGTGTCCTCCTTTCAGAGTTCTCAGCTGTAACATATCACCAGATTGAAAGACAAGAGTAAGAATTTGATCTTTGCAACAATAATAAAAGAAAATATAGGCTGCAGACTTACAAGTCTATTAGACGTGGAATCCCAAAGCTGAACATCGGAATTGTTAAGGCCGACGGCAATGTGTCGTCCGTCAGGTGCCCATTTGACACTTGTGATCGGACCACTTTCTTCATCGACTGTAACAAGTTCCGAGGTGTCTCCCACAGAAGCATCCCATAAATACACTGTTTGTCCAAGAGCAATTGAAAGAACATTGCTGCTGCCCCAATCGAGTAAATTCAAATAATAATCATCCATAATTTCGGGGGCGTCTAATGTTCTCTCGGACGTCTGCAAATAAAAAATTCAATTGAGTTAATAATAATAATCGATAAATCTTGTTAAAAAAAATCATATAAATTAGTGAATTTTTCTTTAGAACAAACCTGGGGAATGTGTCTTCGAGGTTTGGCAGATTTGATTTGGTGAGCGGCTGTCGAAAAGTCGCTCGGAATGGGGTCCACTGAAGTTGGCGGTTTGTTCTTGAAAGCCAAGATTCGAGTTCTGTTCATGTTGAAAGTTTCTGCCAACTGCTTCCTGTACGCCTCTCTGGATGGAGAAGAGGCTGCAGATGGATTTTCCTTACCTTTCGTGAGCATGTAGTTGGCGTAATCGAAGTCCATTGCAGATCTATTTGGTATGAACCGATCCAACTGCAGGAATTGATGAACAGCGAATTATGAGATGCACTAAAACAATCTTTCATGGAATCTTATACACTCAATCCAAACAAACTCAATGAATTTATAATTATGAGCACAAAATCCTTCCTTCGAAATCATCTTCATCCAAATGCAACCTAAGTTAACACTGAAATCTATACAGGAATGTCTGGGAAATGCTCAAAAACAGATGATAAACCGCAGATAATGCAAATTAGAAAGCCCGATTTGTTTAACAATTAAAATCCACCAATTTCCAGAAATTCACAGATAATTCAAATAAATAGATAAAAAAAACCCCAATTTGTTTAACAACTAAAATCCATCAATTTCGTGAAATTAATGCAAATGCCTTTTGGAACAGAATTGATATAGACGATAGAAATTCGTAGCACATTTATTAGGGCAACAAGGGGGAATCAATAACATACATTTTCCTGGGAGTTCCTTCTTTGCAGAAACTGTTCTTGAAGCGGGCACCGCGATCGAGTCTTGCTCGATGATGCAGATGAGTTCATCATTCCTGTTTCCATTTGTTAGCACAGAAAAAAAAAAGAAACAAACACAATCTATTCGTATAAACCGGGAAAATCAAACAATTAGAGAAACAAAAGAACCCTGCAAAACAGAGAATCAACACAAGTAAACAAAATTCGAAAAAAAAGGATTAAAATTAACAACACAAAAACAACAGAGTAATTAAATCGAGAATGATGAGATTAATCGCGAGTGAGAAGAGAGAGAGAGAGGTAGATGATTCGATTGCTTTGATTAATGATAACTGATTGGTGGAGAAGATGGTTCGAATGTGGTGGTTTATATAGTAGCTAAATATATTTTCCGATTAGGGTTTCTCAGCGATTTTTGTGTGCGATTGTTTTTCCTTGTGCTGCTGGAATGAGGCAACGGCTATATTCCAAAGGAAGACCGTTGAAATTTCTTTTGACGAAATTGCCCCCATCAAAGCCGCGAGGGCTTCTGTTATTCATATGGGTACTTCGGTAAATTCGTTTAGAGAGTAAGATTTGACAGATTGGCCCTATGACGGTCAATGTATATTAGGGTTTCCCCTCACTCCCTCCCACACATTAGGCCCATTATTGAGCTCAATTTGTTAAGAAGAAAAGCCCAATAGTCTAAATATCGCATACCGTTGAGACTCGGTTTAGGAGTGTAATAAGCTGAGTTGACTCGATAAAAGCTCGAGTTCGAACTCGAGTTTTCCAGTTTAATATTTTTTTTTGTAATTTTTTAGCTTGTTTGATGGCTCTTAGTGAATTTCTCAATGGCTATATCGTTGATTCGTTAAGTACATTGATCATCATGTGTGTTTTGTGACAACATCGTAACGAGTCTAACAACTTCTTAATCATTCGTTTTAAAATTGTGTGGTTATTCAATAAGTGGCACGTTTGAATGGATAATGACCATATTTACTATTAAATAAATTAAAATATTTCGTACCCCATGTTTCAAATGTATTATTTACATTTTTTTTCTTTTTCCTTTCAATCTTTTCTTTAGGATGACTTTAAAATATGTTAAATTTTAATTTATATTATGCGATTTTAATATATTTATCTATATTTAATTTAAAATATTTTTCACTTGTAACTATCAAAAATGTTGTTTTTCTATTTTATATTTTCCATATATATTTTATTAAATAAAATGTGTTTATGCACATTTTTTTTTATGTTACTAATTAAGTGGATCATGTAAAAAAAAATATATATATTATCCACAATTTAGTTAATAATAAGGTATATGTTCAATAATTCATAATATCACAACAAAAAAAATAATAGTATTCATACATTATTAATATTCAGCTATCAGACATACTTAATTGTTCATCATTCTAATTCAGACACCACTACTTGTAGCCATTCAAATATGGATTCAGTATCCATTATTCAACACTTAATGCAACCAAATACAACTTTAATTTATACTTATGAATTATGATAATGATGAAATACCATCAGATACAAAATTGATTAAACTCGCTACCTCATAAACAACTGAAAATAAATCAAACAAAAAAACTCGAGTTTGTGTTTGATTTTTTGTCGAATCAGCTCGCTCAGCTCGAACTCGAGTTAAAAAAACTCGACCTGACTCGAGCTCACAAATTAGTCATTTAAATTGTGAAGCTCTAATCAAAATTGAAGTATTACACCCCTACACTAGGCTTCTTATCATACAATAGGCTTCTTGTCAAAGAGTTGGTGAAATAAATTGAAAACTTAAATTCATATTTTAGAAAATGCTTAATGTCTTAATTTGAATAAAAAATAAAACTAAAATAATTAATTAATTAGATTAATTTAATTAATACTAACTGAAAATGCTAAGTAACTAAATGCTTAACCCTAATCCACACCGATAATAATATTATTACACTCCGCGCACATGGTGCGGCTACTGCAAGTGAAAATTCAAAATTCAAAAACCTCCAATCGGCAACGGTCATATTTGAAACCAAGGGTTTTTCTCATTCACCGCACGCTATATATATATACTCATATTCGCTTCATTTCAGCTCATCATCACCCCCATTCCCCCATCTGAAAACACCGTCTGAAAACCTAGCTCCACCACCGGCGCCGCCGCCATCTTCCAGAAGACGGTAATCGTAAATCCCCCCCTACCAATGGATTTCCACAGCCTTTCAAGGAGAGAATTGCAGACTCTCTGCAAGAAGAACAAAATCCCCGCTAACCAAACAAATGTCGCCATGGCCGACGCTCTCGCATCTCTCGAGCTGGTAAATTTTTTTATTATATTTTTTTAATTTACGATGAGAAGATCTGTGGATTTGAGCTTTTTTTTTTACTTGAATTTTTTTTTTGTTATTCATTTTCATACGAGTAATCGCTTTAATTTGTGGATTTTTTAGGTCGAAGGGATTGAGGAAATTCTGCACCCATCGCAATCTGTATCAACTCAATCGACGCTCGAGTCGTATGAAATGTCGGATTTGACATCTCCGTACGTGCCTGCAACTGGTGGAAGGAGTACTCGCCGGAAGAATATTCCCAAAGACGAGCTCGGATCTGTGAATCCGGCGACCAGGACTCGTCAAACAGCTCGGAAGAATCTGGGTAAAGATAGCAACGAATCTCAGGCGGATGCAATTGAAACCCCAGCGTTGATTGCGCAGAGTAATAGAAACAAGGGTAAGATGGCCTCCGTCTGCCGGAAAATGGATTCGCAGCTGAAGGAGTGTGCAGAGGAGGAGGAGAAGAAGAAGGAGGTTAATTTGATGACCCCTGCTCCGCTGGGCGCCGCTAGCCGGAGAAGACGAGTGGAGGAGACTGTGGTGAAGCATGCGTACAGCACAAGGAGATCTGTGAGGTTGGCTGAGAAAACTGTGGAGAAGCTGCATAAGGTGGAGAATGATGAGTCTGAGTTTCTCAGGAAGGAATTGCTCACGGATGATGGTGAAAATGAGGAGATCGATTCGAAGGCGGGTGCTGAAGATATTAATGAAATCTCAGGTATTGCTTGTTTCGTTTTTTTTTCTTTTTGAAAGACTTGAATGCGATCGAGTATTTTATGTATTGTTTCGTTGGATACTTTTCTAATTTGTAACTTTTCAGGTGTTGTTGATGCGATTATGGAGGAGAACACTGTGTATGAAGATAAATTTGAATTTGTTTCAGCTGAAGACACTGTTCTGCCACTGAATCTGACCAATGAAGTTCAACAAAATGATGGTATGTTTCATTAATCTGCCTCTTTGTAAATTTTATTACCTAAAATTGTTCTTTAAATTGCACATATTAATATTTCCTATGACTGAAACTACAGTTGAGAAAACAGAAGAACTGAATACTGAGATGGAAGCACAATCTGAATACGAGGATGCCGATTTTGTTGAAAACGTCATCCTTGAAAGTAAAGGTAATTTGCTGTGTTCTCAGCTTTGAGACGACATCTTTGTTAGTGTTGGTTGCCTTCGTTTGACGAAATCGATTGTGCTATTTGTGTTCAGATAATTTTACCGTGGATGATTTTTCTTCCAACACTCAAGATGAGATTGAGATTGAGAAAGAAGTTTACCATGACCAAGATGTGGAGACTGAATTATCTCCAGATTTCAATATGACCTTGGTCAAATTTACAGAGCTTCAATTGCAAAAAGCAACCAAAGAAGTGTCTCCTGCTGTGGCTGATGCTGTACAGACCAACAAAGTCGAGCCCGATGAAATTGAAGTTCCTCAACTTGAAGAAAGAGAGAAAGCTGCTGAATCGGCTATTCCAGCACAGCTCAACAAAGATGTACCTGATGAAATTGAAGTTCCTCAACTTGAAGAAAGCGAAAAAGATGCTGATATGGTGCCACAAGATGCTCAATGTGTAGATGGTGCAGAAGATGTTGTCCACTCAGCTACTGTGGATATGAATGCTGATTTCCCTGAAAAGACCTCTACAGCAATGAAAATGGAGGAGGAGAACATCGGCAGCGGTGTCACTAAACTGGTTGTTATGCAAGATGGAGCAAAGGTAGCTAAAAAAGTTGTTGCGAGCGAAGATGATTTGGCTGAGCTAAGTGTGAGAAAGCTCGGTAAGATGTTGAAGAATAAACTACAGATCACGAATAAATCGAGCAAAAATGCGGATGGCAAAGAGGTGCGGAGGGTCTTTTTTTAATATTCTTGATTCGTTTTATTTTTTTTTTTTTTTTTTTTTTGTTTTTTTGTTTGTGTGTGAATATATAACATGTCTAACTGAATTCTGTCTTTTGGACAAACAGGCACTTTCAAGAACAGCTCTGCAAGCACTTCCCGAGAATCAATTGGTGGATTGAACCAAAATACGAGAGCTCGTTGAATGAAGAAAATATACAGCTGAAAATGCATCTAGTTTCTGTTTCTCAGATGGATTTCTGAACCTTCTTGGTTTGCTCCTCTGAAGATTAAAGAATTTTTGAACTCTCTGTTGAGAATTTTTGTTGTCTTTTAAATAATGTTGGATGATAGTTTTGTGCTGTGTCTATTAAATACCATGTTATCTCTTTGGTATTAATAGCATTGCTCGTGAGCATGTAATTCCCCCCCGAAACATAGTTTTTCATGGCTTAATTTTGATTGCTACTACTCGTGAACTCCCTTAATGGATGAATGATGAATCTTCTTATATAATCCATGGTTTTTGTGTATCGTTTCTTGCTTTGATCAAGCTTCGTTCATGTATCATTTTTTGCTTTGACCAATAAAAAGTAACCCTTTAGGCCTCGGAAATATATACATGTCTCGAAAAATAGAGCTTCATTACTTAATGATCCTTGATTCGATATGTGCATATCATGCACCAAAATAAATGGCTGTTTTCAGTCCATTTCTGGTCTATATTTCTATGTTGCTTTGTATAAAATGTTCGGCTTCGGTTCAAATCAGTTTCGGAAGGAAAAGAATTTGAGAAAGAAACCAAGTACTTCTTCTGACATGATTTGATTCTAACACACCAAACATAGAAAAATGCATTTGATTTGATAAAACAGCAATTCTAAAGACTTGCTGAACATGCTGACAAAGCTATCTTTCTAATCAATACCAACAATTTACAATGTACAGAGGCAGAGCCATACACAACAGTTTATCTACTACCAATCTCTTTACATCAGACAGAAAATTGGAGTCACCCCTATGTCCAATTGAAACCTATCTACACACATCAACCGAACCATTACTAAGAAAGTACGTCATTTATTTACATCCTGACTTCAACTACATCACCATCTTTTAGCTCCGTGTTGGGCAATGCAAGCTGGCCGTTTATCGAAACAAACGTGCCATCAAATCCAATCCTTCTAGCGGCATCGGCAGCTGTGCTGCCACTCCTCAACCTCATTATATCTCCGTGGGGCCAGCATACAACCGCAACTTCACCGATACAAAGTGACTCTACTTTCCTATGCTCTCTGTCGAACTTGAGTTGTCGAAGCCCTGCTTCAGAACGTAGTTGCTCCTCCCATTGAAGCATTGTTCTTAGAAGCTGCACCTGTTTATTCAGGCCACAAAATAATTGTAGAAATAAGTAAATTTCTAATATAAATGCAGATATAGTAATCTCCACTCCTTTTTAGGCCTGGTTTGGAAATTGAACATGATAATGTAATATGCGATTATCTTATGTTTGAGATTTGTAATTATACAATACTTGTACTCGGAAATATTCTTCATAGGATTATGTAATAATAGGGGTTGAGTTGGGACTAAATATTCTTCATATGCTTGACAAAACTCCGGTGTCATTTTTTTGTATCCTAATTTCCAGATGAGACCCTAGTAGGTCCCGAATAACTCTGTTTCGGTATAGAGAAAATTGTAGCGCATGAATCAAAACTAATCCAAACATGAATGGAGAAAAAAATAGTAACTCTATTCGTAGGTGAAATTACCTTGTTGTTAATGCCAGAGTCGAGCAAAGCAGAATTAAAAGCAAAGCTAGGCGGCTTTTCAGAGCTAGAGTTAGATACATCAGGATCAGGAGCAGTGGGTTTGCCCTCAAAAACAGCTGAGACAACAGACCAGTATTCTGTTTCTTCCCATTCCGTCAACTCGATGACTTGGATGAAAGTCGGCAGAAGCCGCTGAAATTGATCTTGCTGTACAGCAGTGTATTATCATGTAAAATAAATAGAAGATATAGAGCACCACGTGCACTTATAAAAAAATGGGAAAAAAAAGGATGTAAAAGAGATGCTGCATGTCTAAAAGATACCTTGTGGTATATACCATCTCTGCACAGAGTGTACCTCTCCAAGCAGGTAGACCAATCTCCATGCCCCGGCTCGAACCACCATTCATCAGACACCTGGAAAATAATAGATGGTTCAAAAACCATGAAACTCTACTGTTGTAAATTTGTTAATTAAACAAAAAAAGTCCAGTCAAATATAATCAAGTTTTTCCCCTGTTAATACTGTAAACATTCTTTTTATATACTAATCAAGGTGTCTGTCTATAAATACTGGAAAAGCACCTTTTTGTATAAATTTGCATAAGCTTCCCATCGTTTTATTTGGTAAGAAGATCTTCTTTCAGCGACTTTTTCAGAAGCTTCTAGCCCAAAACTTGCAGCAACAAGTAAATCTCTTCCATCATTATCTACTCTGGTAGATCAAAGTTCCATGCACTGGTCAGTAAGTCAAGATAATTGATCAAGAGCGGACGAGTCAGTGATGAAATACCTGACAACAACTGCAGTAAGCAAGTGTCCTGCTTCCACTCTGAGAACTGGATGCCCGACTTTAAGTGAGCCATATTTTACCAACATATCAGCCTGAATAGAAGCTTGATCTTCTATTTCATTGGAAAAATCTGAGGGAACCTCTGTGTCAGAATCAGTTACACTGATCTTGGAGGGCAATATATTCCCAGTTTCCTTGTAAAGCCAATGTGCAGCGAGCCCATGTTCAGCATACTCATGCATTCTCTAAAATCAAAGAATCAATACTACATTAGTGAAACCTGAGATGTAGCAACTATAAGTTCCCATGCAAATTTTAAGGATTTTTTTTTACCTGTGTTCTTATCTGAACTTCCAAAGGAGAGAAGTCAGGCCCTTGTACTGCAGTGTGAAGTGACTGGGATTAGGAAAAAAACATTAGCAAGAGAAGACATAAATACAATGCAATATTACAGAAAAATGTATTGTACATATACAGCAGCATCTATACTGACCTGGTATCCACTTGGTTTGGGGTTGATAATGTAATCGTCGAGTTCACCATCAATAGGGATCCACAGTCTGGACATAGAAAAATATGTTACAAGAATTGGTATCACTTTTGGCAATAAAAGCAATTAAAATGGATGAAAGGCACATACAAGAGATACAAAAGTTGTTGATGCGTACCTGTGTATGATGTTAAGTAGATTGTAACAACATTGAACCGCCTGACCATGTAAAGTCCCATTCTTATCTCCAACAACAACTCTCAGTGCACGAGCATCATAAACTTTCTTGAGTCCAACATCTTTTCTATTCATCTAGGGGTAGTCAATCAAAACCACGAGTTGGTAAAAGACTAGCAGTCAAGAGTCACTTGATAAAACTCATCACACAAAACTAGCAATGTCAACAGCAGGGATAGGTATACAGATTCTTACAATTTCAAAAGAGAAATTCTACGGGTATAAATACAAAAAATAATCATCACACAAGAAAATGTAAATGCAGATCTGGGCCACAAGGAAATTGTAAACCAACAAAGGAGTCGTCTGACAGAATAACTAAAGGAAGTACTCAGATCAAAATCTTGACTCTAAGAAGTATGCTAATACCATACAGGCTTACACAAAATTACGAAGAGTTATAGTCAACTTACATTGTATCTAACCTCAGAAAGAACAAAACTACGTTCTGATGTACCTTATAGTACTGAGGACCGGAATTCCATCATACCTTACTGTAGATGCTATACAAGCTTTTTAAGCGTCCGGATAAAGTCACTTCCATTCCTGGAACATAACTGCAAATATAGAGTGGATAACAAAGTAAAACCAAGGGCATTTAGCACACTCTGCTGAGAAGGTTTCAATTATGCTAATGTAAGACGGAACACGTACGATGTTGAAATAAATAATTCCCGCTCCAATGCTTCTTCACAAACTACCAGTGATGCTAAAGCAATGCCAGCATCTCTCACAACTTTGGGTTGTTTTGGAGTATCCGAGCATGTTGCAAGATTGTTAGAAAAGTTAACACGCTTCTTTCTATCCAATAAGAGATCAAACGGAAGTACAGCTTGCAAAAGAACCTGCAGATTGATAGCAAACAAGAATATTGATTACAGTGGAATAATAAGGTATACCTGAAAGCAGATAAGACCATGACAACTATAATTCCACATAAACCGGAGATAGCTACACATAATAACTGATGGATATAACATGTGACTATCCGACAGATTGGATTTTTAAAACCAGATACACTGAAAACTTTAGAATGATGTGCATCTGCCGCGGAAACAGCTATTAATCAAGGATAAACGTGAAGCTACTGAAGATCCAGAGAGGTTTAAAATCTTTGTGATGAGAATTTAAAGATCCCAAATTACTGTATTCGAGTTCCCCACCATAAAATCACTAAATTACTAGGAAAGCATCTAGGCCAGCACTCAAGAAATGTACCTTCATGCTGATGTTTTCCGGATCGAGATCCCCCAGTTCCTCACATTCTTGAAATTGTACAACATCACTGGACTTCGTGGATATTCTTCTCAGATTGCCGGACTTGTTGATGGGGCTCCACATAGAAGCAAGGTCAGCTCGCAGTTGGCGAAATATTTTAGGCTGCATGTGGAAGAACAGGCTTTACTGGTGAATGACGATTCTGAACATCTACATCTCGTGTTTTTCTCTTTAATAAAAGAATGACGGTTCCTAAGAAATGATGAATTAGGGCAAACCTGAAGGACGGCAAAGCACAGATCTTCCAGTTCAGCTTTAAGAGCCCATAATCCCAACCTGGAAGCAAGTGAGCACCAAATAGCTAATGTCTCCTGTGCCACAGCTTGAGCTTTGCCGGGAGGTAAAGCATATCTACAGGGAAGCCCATAACCAAGTAACAATCAATCCCGTGTTTTGTTAAGACAATTGGAACTTGGAAGACTGAAAATTAGCTTCATTGGTAACAGGAAGGTTCTTTGTTTTTCTCTCTATTTTGAAAATTTCAAACTAAGACTGGTGAAAGGATGTAAGTGGTAATGACTAAAAAATTCAATTATTTTTATATGTTCATGTTAGGTGCGATATGTGTAAGAAAAGGAAAAAGTAAATTCTGCAGTAACTAGCAAGTGCACTGTTCTCATATTGTGAAGACAATTTGCAATCACTTACATTGTTCTCATATTGTGAAGACGATCTGCAAGCTTTATGAGAACAACACGTGGATCATCAACCATGCCTAGCAGCATTGCTCGTAAATTATTTGCCTGAACAAAGAAAACTTGTCAGATATAGATGAATTTCAATAAGGTATAACACGCAATTATCTAAATCTTAGCACTTGATTGCACCAAATCTACATTGGTTAATGACACTGCATTCCTTTTCTATTGATAAGGAAAAATGCAATAGTAATCTAACCATGCCAACCATTGTTTAATGACTCTATTGCACTCTCTTCCAAATGATAAGAAAAGTTGCACGAGCAGGCTAACAATATGAATCGATATTGGTAAAGATGATAAACTCTTCATCCATTCTCTACGATGAGAAAATTATCATAATGCACTTGCTACATATAAAATATTTGAAGCATCAGAAAGCAACTTCAGAATTAGGATCATGTAAAAATTATGCCACCATCTCCTAGATTAAGCACATAACTGTTAACCATGTACAGATAACATTGTCGTCATTTTCTTGGTTACCTTGATCAGATATTTGAGTTTCTCTGGCTTCATTAGAGGGCAAGGACATGCTATTCTTTTAAAAACCTACTTTCTACTGAGACATCATTGATTCCCATTGTATGAGCAAAATGATTCCATGAGTGCTATCACATGGTTATCCGTGGATTCCCATTTAGCTAATAATTAATATGATAAACATCAATGCATACCTCTTCATGACTCAGTGTATCTTGACTCACATTCATCCTTCGGTGCCTGCGTAGTAACTACAGAACAAGTGCCTATCAATGTTTAATCAATGGCAAACACATAATAGTTAACAAAAGAAAACAAGAATGAGAACAACCTATAGTTCTTAATATCAAATTAAACACACAAACACACGAGGCAACCCCTTAGGTCTAGTTCGCAGATACTGAAATTGTTTCTTCTATATTATCATGTTTTACTGTTAAAGATGACTTCACGGGGGTGTTGCAATTTGAGTATGTAAATTCAGACATAAAATATTTTACCTGATTGATATAACTCAGTCTAGAAACTCCAGCAACCAACTTCGCAACATCAGCATCAAACTCTTGCTCTATGCTGTCCAAACTTTCACATGTGTCATCGACTACGTCGTGGAGGATTCCAGCCACAACTGTATCAATAGCCTATATAGTAACATTTACTACTTCAAAAATATAAGATAGAAAACAAGATGAGTTACAGATGCACAAACACACAATAACGGGCACGTCGTAAGTCTTATTGTACTGTATATGCGTACGTGGTGCATGAGATAATTATTCAAATTCTTTCACCTTAAAAATGAATGATTTATATTGTGTGTCTTACTTATCCACGTGGTTTTGTTAGATACAAGAAATTGCATGATTAAGAAAGATAACCTCAGAGTGTAAAAGCACATAAAATTATGGGGTTTTAGCTATACAAAAGGTTGAATAAATTATGGAATCTGACAGAAGAAAAGGTGGACTTAATTATGGAAAATAGGATTTACATACCCTTTTACCATTTGACGGGACTAACACAGCTACAATTTTCCCAGTGTGAATACAGTGGGATAAGTAGGGCTCTCCTGTCTTTCTTATCTGGCCCTGATGAGCTTTCCTTGCAAATGCAATTGCTTTTTGCACCTGCCTTCACAGATTTAGAATCTTAGCCGCATAACAGTAACGGATTATTTGGGTGAAAAAATGTACTAGTAAAAATGGTAAACCTTTCCATCGTTGAATATGGGATATCCAGTGACATCTACTCCATCCAGAACATGAGATCCTGCATCAAATGCACTGCACTCTTACTTCGATATAGCGAACCGTGGAAAACAATAAGTTTAGTAGCAAATGGCTTGAGAAGATTCATGAATTCTACTAATTAATGAATTCTTTGGTATAGAAGATTCGTTAACTGGATCCACCAGTTATACTTTAAGTCTTCAACTAACTGAATAATCAAAGAGCCATATTTGGTTTGACCTTTTCCAAGTCCGAATACCTTTGCTCAACTCAATTATGTCACCAAGATTACTTTCAGAGTATATATATATTGTGTATTTGATATGTGGGTAGAAGGGACACATGAACTGCCAGGTCATCACATAATCTCGTGCAATCTAGAAAATTCTGAAGGATCAAACGAATACCAACTCCCTAGGCAAAAAAATCATATACAAGAACTTTCAGACTTGCTCCAACACGAAAATGCGTACTAGTTTCTATAAGATGATCGCCAAAAGGTTGAAGAAAATGCACAAAATTCAAAACAGAAGTAAAAAATAAAAATATTTACCAGGTTGCTCATCAACTTTAGGCCACAGAAATTCCACCTTAGTGGATAGACAAGCCCCGGAAGCGATCGCCACGGCGGTCACCGCCACCTGCGTAATTGCCGACGAAACCGCTCCGTGAAGCGAGCCAGAGCCGGCCGACGCCGCAGCAGCGATCACGTTGCCGGAAACGAGAACAGTACCCAGAGACGCCGAAACTGCAAATTTCGGCGCGATTGGACCCAAGAGGCGCCTAAATTTGGGGGACTTGCCGAAGAAAAACGGATTCCTGCGAAGAATTAGGGAGGTTTTGGGGGAAACAAACATGGTGGAGGTGTGGCATGAAGACATGCCTCTTCTTTGTAGGTGATTTTGATGTACGGGAGGATGGAATCACATCTTTATTGAGTGAGGAAAGAAGAATCTGAAACTGTGGAGTGAGTGATGTTGATATTTTTCAAGAGTGAATAGAAAGAGAGAGAGAGAGAGAAAAAATGTGTGGTTGAGGAGAGAGAGAGAGAGAGAGAACAAAATAAATTATTTCGAGTTTATTATATTATTATTAAATTTGATAATTGCGTGTCAGCTCTCATCAATTTCAATTATTTGCCCACTTAATATTTTTATTTTATTATTGGATATATACAAATAATTAATCGGGTGTATTATTCTCGAGGAAGAAAAAAAACTCTCATTATGTGTCAAATTTAATTAAAATTTGTAGATTATGTGGAATATTATCTAGTTTGCAACCGTTTTATCCCATTCAGCTTCACATTTCGAAACAAGATGATCATAAAAATTGCCTCTTCACTTTTGTAATTAGATTGTGGTGCATTAGAAACTGCATTTCTATACAAAACGAGTATAAACTAAAGAACGTTCCACGAAATCTGTTGAATTTGATACCATAAAGGTGGACGTGTAAAAAGATTCATAGTTAAGAGATGATTGTAATTACCGTAACATAAGGGGTTTTTCGTAATTTGACTTTACCTCGAGGGTGACCACAAGTCGCCCTAATTAATATTGCTTCTTAAGAATAATATAAATTCAAGTTTTGTGCATTGCCAAAAACTTTTGAAAAAGTCACCTTAGCATAATTGAGAGAAACCTGTGATGAAATTTCCTACTACAATTTTCAGAAGTATTACTAGGGACATTGTATTAACATGAATCCACACTGTAAGAAAACTACCCGCAGTTCACCTTCATCTTCAAGGCTTTTTTCAGTAAGCAGCTAATACACACTGCTAAAGGTCCAGAAACACATGCCGAAAACGGGACAAAAATTTCAGAATTTAGGTATCCCCAATTTACAAATTGATTGATTGATTAAAAAAAGAAAAAAACGGCATCACAAAAGTAGTAGTTACTTTTTTTTTTTAAGTACAAGCTTGTTTACTTTCCAAAGAGTTGTGAGACGGGAAATCGAGTTTCAACCTTGGCTAGAATGAAGGGCCGACTGAAGAAAATCCAGCAGCCTTGTGCTCTTTCAAAGTGCTTGACAACCAGTCCAACCCCTCGTACAAACCATCGCCTTTGAGAGCACAAGTGCCTTGTATGTGCCATTTTCTATGTTTTAGATCGTATAGCCCTAGCCCGTCGCAAACTTCCATTGGTGTCATTGCTCCTTTCTATACGAAAAAACAAAAATCGAATTGTAACAAAACAAATAGAACCAAAATATAGGAATATATTCTGCTAATGCACAATAATATCAGAACTGCACAAAGGACGTTAGTAGCCATGCATATCATTTCCATCGATAATAATACCATACTATTTTCTTTTTATCTTTGAAGTTCAAAAGTCCAGTGCTTGGTTATATTTAAAACAGGTCAAATCTGAAATTTTATTTTATTTTCTCCAACAGCCAAAAAGTGCAACAAACCATAGATTAAAAATCTGGTCGACATGGTACCGAACACTACATTGCGTACCTAAATCTAAATTTTACTTTAGGAGATGAGAAATATATGCATACCATGTCTTGCTTGTTTGCGAAGACCAATATAACAGCATTAAGCATGAAGGGGTCTTTGATGATGGCCTGGAAAAAAGAATAAATCAATGTAAAAGATGCAACAACTGGAAAATCTAAGGTATATAAACATATCGATCATTTAAGAATAAACCTGAAATTCTGCCTTTGCCCTCCCGATCCTCTCTCGATCTAGAGAGTCCACAACATAGATCTGCATAGCAAGGCATGGAGAAAGAAAACTCACATATCAGGAGAGTTGAAATGTAAATTTGAAAATGGTAATATCACAACCTTGGCAAATTTTACTTTGAAAAAGCTACAGGCAAAATGTAACCAAGCCAAACTTTACAATGCAAAAAATCGTGAAAAGAATTACAGAACTAATTAAAAAAAATCTTACCAGCCCATCTGTATTATTGAAGTAATGTCTCCACAAGGGTCTTAATTTCTCTTGTCCGCCCACATCCCACACTGTAAACATCACATTTTTATATTGAACCTTCTCCACATTAAAACCTGCACGAAAGCAATAACTTTAATCATTTCAAACTTCTGCCACAAGATTTATGTGCACCTACAAAACCATAAGAAATCACACATGCATACACACAGATATAGATCAAAATCCATTATCAACGATGCAAAAGAGTATATCCTTCACGCGTTTTACATCTCTTAAGAATTGGAATGTAAAGAGAGTTTCATGCCAGAAAACTGCATAAACTATTCTTGAACCTCCAAGAAGCATAACTGTAGCATTTGATAAATCTCGTAACCATGAATCCAGGTAGTGTAAAAATCTAGAAGAGATATAAATGTCCTATTTATTGATGTTCAAAGCCATGAATTGACTTTTGTACCCCAAGCACGTCTCATATGTTATATGTAGGGTCATAACCAGGTTCTCTCAATTCTGTCTGACCTATCCATATTATATTTTGGTTGAGTTCTGAAAAATTACTTCAGTTTCTAAGTTATCTCCTGACAAACGTAAGAACTTCAAACATAGAGCAGCTAAGCATCTTCGATGAATATACAGAAATAAATTATCAATGTGTAATACAAAGTAATTACAGTATACAACGTCAAAACCAAAGTGCATCCTTCTACTGAACATCATATACCTTGAGTCCTTGAGCATATAATATAAATACATTATTTGTATAGTTTCAGTGTCACTCAAAGATATGGCAAAAGGCAATTTCTAAGCTACGCTTAACTTCAGCGGGATGAAGGCATTCTGTATACGGACACCGGGGTTAGGGGGTGGATATATCGTAGTTAAGACTATTAATAAATATTCTGAAATTATGTACCAGCTATTCCATTTTTACTACAAAATATATAGCATAGTTTATCTTCAATACCTAAAAAACACTGTCTCAAAAGCACTAACAACAGGCTGATGGAACTTCCAAGTCCAACAATTCCAGATCAAGCAGTCAAACTTTAAGACAAAGGAAGAGAGTTATTTTGCCACTATCTCATTTGAAGTTAAGAAATCTAGTAGTGTTCAAGATATATAATACGAAACAATAAGACAAAGGAAGAGAGTAAGAACTGCAAGACGGCATGAACTCGTGGAATAGTACATATTCAGCTCAAAACAGCGTAGCCGCTATTCCAATGATCAAATACTCTTCTTGTCAGCGATTATGAAAACATTCTAGGCTCAAAATGATACAATATCAAAGAAGAACCTAAAAAAAAACACTAACCAATAGTAGGCACCGTCGATAAAACCTCTCCAATGTGAAGTTTATACAATATAGTTGTCTTGCCGGCAGCATCCAGCCCAAGCATCACAACCTAAACCAATCAAATATGTAAAACGATGAAGCCTACATCACAAACCAACAAAACTTCATAACATCTCCCCAAATAATTTTTATTTTACAACGAAGCTAGATAGTGCCCATCATTTTGAGCATCAAAATTAGTAACCTCAATGTAATAACAAAACTGCACATGCAATTGGCACAAAAAAAAAAAAAAAGTTGATCAAAAGAAGTATATACAGTGCACATAATAATAATTTGAAATCGATAAACATACTTTTTGTGATTGCCCCACACTAATGGATGACATATTATCTACTACATTTCTGACCCAAGAAATTCGGCTGAATCTAATGTTCTCCGACTTACATGCATTGGCGAAAAATTGGACTATATACAATGATATCATTTCCGAGTCGGTAATTATCTGCACTAATATCATAGAATATTTATATCATTTTGAACGTTAGATTCGATATTAGATGCTACATTTCCTTTTTGGGGAAACTCTTTCTAATAGCATTTACCGGATATCTTATCGTATCTACAATCTATTCCCTATGTTCAATGAAATGACTTTGAACCATGCCTATGCTAACCCAAAGTACATGCACCACTTCGAAAAGCTGAGAAACATCCTATTTTCAACTCAATTAGCAAACGGCATGTCAGTCAAAAGAACTAGTATGTCAAAGCATACACAATTATCAAGTGCAAACACACAATTTTGGAATCAAACAGCGCAAAAATCTCGCAGTTTCCAAATTCATAAATTGCAAAATTCAATCAACAAATTAATAATAAAAAGCAATCAGATTACTAAGCGGGGAAAATTAAATTGAAAATTCAGAATCTGAGCTCGCCTCATCCAATTAAACAAAATTTGTGTTCGCATGAAGTAAAATACTCCAATCACATAAAATAAAATCAACCAAAAAAAAATAAAAATTAATCAGCTACACAAAGTTGCAGTTTCAGAAAGCAAACCTCAGATCAAAACAAAGAGAATTCCAAAAAAAAAAAAAAAACTATTGGCGTGGATTTTGCGAGCATGTACCCGCATCTCAGAGTTGCCGAAGAAAGTATCGAAGAGTTTGCGAAACGCTTGTCCCATTCCGCGCTCTCCTTTTTTGACCTTGTTTCTTCGCCCTCAGTATAAACGCAAATGAGAAGAAAATCAGCGATCGGAGAAGTAGAGTGAGTTTTCTAATGGTTTTGGGGAATGGAAAAAGCTTTGTACAAATTGCAGAATATGCGATTTAATGGAACTTCGGAAAACCAAAAATTATTTGTTAGAGAGAGAGAGAAGAGAGAGAAAGTTAGCGTTGTTTTTGTCTCCAGTCCTTTTTCTTTTTCCTTTTATTTTTTAAAGGAATTTGACAGTTCGATAGATAATTATATATTTTTCTTCATTTGATATTCTTTTTCCATCACAATATTTTGTAGGAAGCTGACCGTATATTGATTTTGTTTTTCAATCCTTGGAAAATATTCCAATAAATCATAATGAATTTATATTATTAATTCCAAATGTTTGTAAAAGTCTACTTCTTCAAGACTTGGGAATGAAGTTCATACTAATCAACAGCTCCAGAAATTGAAATTCAACACATTCTAAATTTTGGTAACGCATTAATTCAAAAAAATAATAATAATAATAAATAAATTGGTAACGCATGTTGATCCCGTTTAGATTTTATGTTATACTATTCACCTACAAATTAATTTGTGTAAAAATTAATTAAAGTAAAGTTTAATATAATTCATTTATAAGAATATTCTAGTTATGCATGTGAACATACAGGTACACACACCGTTTACAGCACACAAAATACGTGCATACCAAATAAAGAAATACATGCGAGTTTAACCGAACTTATTGGCGTCCAAAATTGCATTAGACTTGTGTTACCCCTTAGACGAAAACATTGGCTATGACTCGAGCGTGGCCGGGTTATAGTCGAAATGGTGTTACGGTATATTGGCATAGGGCAAGCTGCACATAGGTCAAACCGTCGCTGAGTGATTGACAAGCATTGGGAGTACTTCACTGAGAAAGCTAGGCAAGGATTTTCGATAGCTGACAGGGGTGAGTCTCGAGCAGCCTTGGAAGGCAAGTGTGGGCAAGGTAGGCTGGCTGACTAGCACGCATGCTGGCAACCTCGACGTTAGGCGCGCACGCGCACCGGCAAGGCAGACTCGATGAATAACTTTACTTGGGCGGTTCTGAATGGCAGTTGCGGAGCGATTGACATCAGCAAACATTTAGATATTGTCTCTTTTATGTTGTAATAGTTAGTCAAATGATTGCATGTCTGTCGCCATATGTCCCTTAGCAGTTTAGTGCATAAATTGCATTGTACCTTGTATTTTATAGGCCTTCTAGTGCGCACCTTGCGCTTTCCTTGTATAATTCATGAGTTGAGTAATTGAGGTTTAACTTTCCCAATAATTTTTTTTGTGTATTGCTTACTTGATCAAAACGATAGCTTTATACGTGTGTGTGTGTGAAGAATTGTTGAACGAGCTGACTGCTTTAGTTTGTAAATCAGGCCATACAATGGGAAAAATTTCATGTGCACGTTTACCACCTGCAACAACTTGCATAATCGTGTGCATGAAATGGATTCTTGTACGATTACTTGTAGAGATCAACATAAAGCTTCAGTTTAAATCCACTTTCTAGCCGACTTGAACAAATAAGATGCTAAATCCACCACATGCATTCTCTTAAAACAAATTAACCTCTAACTTAGCAAACCTGCATAATAATGCTGGGATCAAAGACAATAGTCAAAACAAGAACAATCCATCCTCCAAAATCCAGAAATACTTAAAACTGTCCTAACAATTAATCGGCAAAAAGAGGATTTTCTGCACAATCAACTAATGTTTGTATACATTAGACCCTACCACAAATACCACCTCCCAATGACAATCAGCTTAGACACAGTCCCATCCATTACTAAATTCAGACAACTAAATTACTACTTTACAACCAGCATGTTGTTTCTTCAGCAGCCGAGGATAGCTTCGTCACTTCACACGAGACTATGTTCCAGCCAGATTATATGAAATTGGGAAAAATTTAACGGCTGGACCCTCCATCAAAAACCTAATTTTTTTTTTTGTTTTAAGTTACAAATCCACAAAAACTAGCCTTTAGAAGGAAAATATGCCAAACTCATGAGTCCAGCATCTCATCTTGTATCTCGTTGGGTGCAATAAGTCCGGGAATTGACAGCATGCGTTGCCTCTCCTTCTCTCTCTGAACAGCAGCCTCATCGGCATAAAGATCTTTGTTGTCCTGAAATCATAAAGTCCAGAACAAGTACATGATTGAAACGTTAATTACCAGATGGAACAGTTTAATGCAGCATCGTGAAGCCGTAGAAAAAAAACACCTCACCTGAGCTGAAAATTCTTTTGATTGCACAAGAAAGTCTCGAATATGGTTTTTGAATAAAGGAAGATCCTGTCCTGACTCAAAAAGTCCGTTCACGAATTGGGTTACCTAAAAAGGAACAAAAATGTAAGTAATTGCACTAATGACGCATTGGATAAGTATTTGAAGTATCGCTAACAAGTTTTTTCTTCAATACCTCAGTTGTGGTCATGTTGGGAAACGATGAGCTCAAAAGTTTAATTGTGTATTCGCGAATGAACAAGCCATTATTCGGATAAGGATAAGGAACTGTCGCGACATCCCACAGAGGCTCAGTCACGCCATCGGATTCCACCTGTAGTTGATACAACAAAAGTAAACGATAAATAAGAATAAAGGAACAAATCAAAATTCACATAAGAAAAAGGAGAAACAGAAGTGAAGATTACCAGGCAGAACAAGTGTTGCAACACCAGTACATGCAATTTAAAACCAGGCTTGTGGAATGTGTCGGTTAAAACAGCAAATATTTCTTGTTCTATCGTCAGAAAATAAGTCCTGAAGAACTGATTGCAGAACTCGGAAGCCTGAAAAACCAGAACAATTGTTAGGCACACTGCCAGGAATGATTTTATGTATACTATAATAAAGAAACAATTCAAAATTCACCTGAAAGTTTTTCAGCATCTCTATTAAAAGGTTAAGTCCAGTTTCCGCAATATTTCGTTCAGTATGCCGGAAAGCCCAAATGATGGAATCAATTACAAGTTTCAGTTGCTGAACATAATCAGTAAAACAACATAATGAATTAGATGCTCGCATAAAGATACTGAATAAAAATACTTGAGTTGATGGGGTCCACTTTCAAATGGACTTTATACATCATAATATACAGGGCACTGGCTTTGGTGCAATAGTACAAACCTCGCTTGACAAGTGAATCAAAGCAGGAAAACAATTTGCAGCAATGGCTCGAAGTAACGAAAAGAACTTGAGTCGATGCTCAGGATAGTCCTCAAAATTCTTTGTTATCATCTGAATGAAAACCAATGATGATATCAAACATTACAAAACATCGAAGGAAATTGTAAAAATCATACACTAAAGTAGAATTCATAAGGTAACTAAACAAAAACGAGTTGTTATTAGTGTGTAACAAAGAAGTAAACAAACCTCTAGAGTACACTGGAAAACAGCTTCAAATATCCGAGGAACATCTTCAATCATTGAGCCCTTATACCTAATCAAAGTAGAGAAAAGAAAATAATGGCAAACTAACAGCAAGCTAAGAGAAAAAGGAAACAAATACACGAGCACAATCACAACCACAAGCATCTCGGAAGAGAAACACCGTATTTGAACCATCTAGAAATGTGATTAGAAACACTTGATGTTGCTCTAATTAATGTTACTAAAAACAAATGAATAAAAAATACTGCCATGAAAGTTTCCACGAGATTTCAAGATGTTGACCTATGGATATCCAATAGACACGTGCTCAAACTCAGAAAAGATAAAAGCATACTTATTTATTATTGTAGCAAAAAGAGAGAGAACTTACTTATTTATGATTGTAGCAAAGAGAGAAAGAACTTCCGACTCTCTTGCATCCGGTAAATTCCTGGCATAGTCGCCAAGCACAGGGTCCATCATTGGAGGCACAAATTGTTTTCCAATATGTGGTTGACCTTCTGCCTTGTCTAGAAATGTCTCAATGAGCTTTAGTGTTTCCCTCTTAACCGAACTGTTGAAAAGGGACAAAACCGAAATAATTACCACAATGCGTTACCAATAAGGGAATAATGCTTTAACTTCAGAACTTACCGTAAAAGTTTCACAATAGATGTCCTCGAAGCATAACGCCCTCCTTGGGCAATACTGGTGGATATAAGCTCACTATACATTCTGTGGATGCAACCAATATCTTGTTATTAAGAAAATAGATTGACGGTAACTTCTAAGACAAAAACACAAGTATATTATTTTGAAAAAATAAAATGAAGACAAACAAACCTGTACACATTAAGCATGTCCAGAAATATCAGAGAAATCTGTGGCAGAAAATATGTTCCAAGAGAGGTTGCGGCACTAGTATTCGTCTGGAGGAACAAATGCATGCATAAGAGTACATCCAAAAGAAGAAAGATAGAAGTTGACTGAAAAGCAACATGAAGTAAGAGAACACCGTTGAATAATGTCAATCTTAATGGACTATCATATAGATCTTTGAACAAACAAAAAACTCACAAGTGCTATCAATCAAATACCATACAGTATTGGGATTTCCTCAAACCTCGTATCTGTTTCCAGACCAAGCACTATCTTGAAGGAATGAAACTTGTACAACTTCAATCCGTACAAATAAAGGCATACAGTCACCAGATCCATACCACCAGATTTAAAATGGCTTAGTTTGATTTGACACGACTAATTAAGAGAAATTGTGCTTGACCTAGGTTTCGTTATTGATAATGAAAGCTTCAATTGACTGGTTTCTGAAATGAGCTCAATTATATACATACATATATAAACATACTGTTTTTCAATTTATCATCCCTAAAGGTTACTACTAGAAAAGAGAAATGCAGAGATGACAAATTGAAAATAACATTACAATACAAGTGCACGCTTTTTAAACAAACCTGCAATATATTGAGCACTGCCCTAATCACATCTGGATCTTTCAAGAAATCAACACTCTGACGTGCCTGCCCTATAATTTCAGCCCATTTCTGCAGCATACCAACAATTAGCCACAGCAAAAGCCACGCAGGAGCATCGTAGAAAAAAGACTAATGAATGAAGTGTAGGCAGAAATGCCTAACACATGGATCTATCTTAAAATGGTGTGGCCAATAGAACCAACCTGATTAGGAAGCAGCATCAATCTCTGCAAATATTCATCTCTTTTGATAGCATCAGATTCTGCTTGAATCATAGTACCTACCTGAAGGAGATAAAGTGGTAAGAGTTAAGAGACTATGAAAATCTGTAGTCATGCTAGACATTATAACAAGAACATGGTAATCAAAGCTATCCTTTCAAATAGGTATATGTCATACAAAGGGAACCTACAGATTCATAGAAGGAGTGGATCTGATGAGGCTCTAGATCTGCAATAGTTGTTGGAAGAGTTGTCAGAAGTTCTGATACAAATGGCTCGTTTTCACCAACCTGGGATAGAGAAATGACAGACAAGGGTTAACTTTATTGGTTCTAAAACATCATATAATCATTTGCTCTACTCAGGATTATTTCCAGAGGCAACAACTAACAGAATCATAACCTGCACAGTGACAAATTTACGCTTGCACTTTTGGACAATTTTCAAGAATGTATCGCATGCCATATCCTACAAAGAAAAGGAAAGCATCAACAAAATATCAGTGCACAGTAAAAAACCTGAAAATAAAAGTCAAATAAGCATAGACTTGTTAATGAAGCTGAACTGCATGATGGATAAGGACACCAAAGATACTAAAGAAAATAAACAGCTTTCCACAAAACACGGACCCTTCATCCATAGTAATTCAGACAAGCAAGAGTTGAATTTAACCTGAACTCCTGGATGAATTTCGTGCATGAACTCAAATAACTTGTTCACAACAGTTTTCAAGAACTTCCAGTGAGCCCTCAAAAATCTTGGGTATTGCCCAACCACATACCTGCGGGCGGCCCAAATACAAACAGACAGTGAGAAAATTTCAAAGAAAACGGTCAAACCGTTACAGTATTGCTCACCAAAATTACAAGCAGGATGATAAAGAATATGGTAATCAGGAAAACACCCTCATGCAGCATCCTAGGTGGTAGCTATCAGTATCTAATAAATATTAAGTCAGAGTCTCAAGATCCTCACATTATATTACTGGCTATGACCGCTTTATTGTCCTTTCCTTTGGTGATCTCACAAAGGTTCAACAAATCACGAATTACCATCACCAAAAACCTGTTTTCCTGTTACAATTAAAAAGTGCTCAGGGATATGAAAGCTATAGATGATCAAAAATAAAATAAATGAACTCAATCATGGGGGACACAATGGGGGGGGTTTGAGTGATAGCAGATAAACAAGAATAGATCACTCTTCTTTTGACCGTACTAGCATTTCATCACATAGAAATGTTTGTGTAAAAAATTAGTATTCGATATATCCAAAAACAGAATCATATTCAAGAAGGAAATTAATAAAATGATCACCTACCTGTTCCTCCACCATTGACCCAGATATAGATCCAATTGCCCAACACAGCGTATTGAGGTTGTTCCAGGTATAATCCTCCCCACTTAGTTGTTGACTTAACTTCTTCAACATCTGTACCCACCCCATGAAATAAATCCATAAATTAATTGGTCCAAAAGCAGTATTCAATCAAAGAACCTAAAATTCAGTATGGACAGCAAGAAGGTAATATACTCTTCCAAAACATGATTATAGGCAGCGAGTGTCTCTAAATGATGAACATAATGATAAAATTAGTTTAGGGAAGTAAGAATAATCAGTCAATAGTACATTAAGAAATCAATGGATAACTCTAGCTAGCATGCTTAAGGTCAAGACGATAGATTGTACGCACGCTTGCTTATAAAACAGAAGTACAATTGAACAAATTACATTATCACAAACTTCCATGTGGCAAACTGTGACTAACATTTTGTACTATGTCAAAAGCAGTTAGAATAACTGATGGTGGACTTTTGACTCAAGAACACTGGCGTATGTAGGAGTGAACAAAAACTGAAACCACGATTAACCTGCCATAGAAAAGCATCGGGTCCCTTCCATTTGACAAAGGAAATCATTATTAAGAAAAGTGTTTTTTTTATAACAAGTAATTGAAAAGATAAGTATTGGAAAGCCATTGGCAGAGTCATATATTGCATCTGTATCTGTATGCAGGATGATAAAGAATATGTTAATCAGAGCCACAAGTAATCAAAGAAAACAATATTTTTACATCTGCCAAAACTGTAGGCTCCGGACGTTTTTTATTTGGGAAGAGAGAAAAAAAGAAATTTCTTTCACTGTGAATTCAGCTACACTATCAAACAAATTAAAAAAAAAATCAATAACAGATAAATCAAGTCATATCCTCTCACTGCTAACTTACTACAATCAGATACAGCATTCATCAAGAACAACACCATTTCTAATAGTTATTCTACATCTACAACTAAAGATACCTGTTTTTCAGTATCCTCGTGATCGAGATGTGCCAAGTAAATCAATGTTTCCCTCATTATCTGCAAGTTTATTAATTATTTCATATATTCAACATGAGTCGGACCAAAGAACAAAATTCCAAAAGAAAAAATAAAAGAGTAAAGTGAAAATGCTATTGAGTTTTAAATAAAATTGCACCTTATACTGCACAAGCACATCATTGTCTTTCATAGTTTCACGAACTATATTTCCATTTTCATCCTCTACAATGAGAACCTCTTCTGGCTTTGCCATGCGGCAGATCATCAGTAATCTTAACTTAGACATTGGACCAGCGTAAAGTTGACGTCTCTGCATGAGTGGAGAATTATGTGCATCATTCAATCCTGGAATGATGTGAATCTGCTTGATTGATAAAAAAAACGGGGAAGCGTTAGTGATATCACTACAGTGTGGTCAGACATGCAAAGAAACAGTTCCAGACTTTTTTTTCTTCCCCCATTGCCTCTAAATTAGAGGGGATGTGTTACAAGAATTAATCAATACAGTTACACTCACATCCGCATGAGAAAACTAACATAAGATAAAGTCAGATCTCCCAAAGCTAAAAGAATTTAAATGAGATTTCGCTCCATATGATATAGAGCCTATTAACCACGGAAATTGACCAGAACTCAAAGGGACCAACAAATCAACACGGCTTACAATCTAACCCTCCCACATCTGCCCCAGACTCGAAATAATCCATACACACTGCCAGTTGGGAAATTTTAGACTTCAATCTTGATGCATCTAAAATGCATTGAATAGGCACAAATATTTTCTACGTAAATCAGCATATGTCACCAGATAAGAGACAAAGAAACGGATAGAAAGATCTGAAATTGTAATGGTTTTAACCATAACCATCAACACTAAGAATGAGCAGTCACAAAACCTAGGAGCCACTGCCAGGTCATAACCTAACTTTAGCGTCACTACACAATTGAATCTACACTTAAATTGGGATCCAGATCCATAAGGAGAAGCCTATAATTGTTTTTTGTATACCTCTCGATTCTTCATTCTCAAGCTTATCAACCTTCTAATGATTAAGCACTGACAGAGCACTCATCCAACAAAACTTCTTAGTTGGGTCCGGGGTCTACATCCTTAATTTAGTCCAATTAAACAAGAAAACTACATTTGCGGAAAATATGCAATAATTCCGAAACAATAAAATTTAAAAATTCAAGGAGTACAAAGGGTTCAAAAATAATTCTACCTGCACTCCCATCATGTTTGCAGTTGCAGCAGGATTGTCCAGATTGTGGTGAGCTTCAAACAGCGCCAAAACTAAAGAATTCCAATAGTCCAAGCAAACCTGCAAGCCATACTCAGATATTGCAACAGATATTATAGACGAATAAGAGAATACATCGGTTAAAGTAAGACAGGTACCTTAAAAACTTCGGTGTCATCCACATATGAGATATTTATGAGATACTCAAGACCCATTAGTAGTGCATTTATGCTCTCTTGGGAGGATTCTAGTAATCGGATATGAGACTGCGGCCATGGGAAAAAAAGGCATGTGAGTCTAATAAAAAATCAATTCATGAAGGAACATGAAGGGTCATAATCAGCACACTGGTCTTTTTAGCATACAAGTCTGGAAGAGGGTGAATGAGTGGATCATAAAGAATCAGATGAAAAGTTGGAGATTATTTATTTATTTATTTTGGCAAAAGTTGAATTCAGTAAATTCACTCTTAAGATAACCAAGCACACTGAAACAGCATTTGCATGTACAACCAATTACAATTTTGCGAGGAAGGAAGTAGTTTGTGCGACTAGAGTAAAGAAATTCATGTGAATGAGATACCGAAAAAATATGCAAATAATTAAGCACATTATATTTAATTGCTAATCACACAGAGCAATGTAGCAACCATCTTAGAATAATCTCAAACATACCCATCATATCCTCTAGACTGATGTCATATGTGCCAAAAAAAAAAATCAAAGTAGCTTTTATGTTAACATATAGTGATCCAGAGATTGGATTCTTTGGAGGATATATATGAGTTCCTGATCTATTTCCAGATAGTTTTCTTTAACACATGTTTCAACTAATAGGCAACAATCTTATTGATGGAGGACTGCTTTTTGGATTTGTTTTGGCCTTTTTTTATGGAAACCAAGAGAAATAAATTACCTTGTAGAAGGACGTGAAAAATAGGGCCAAGTTCTGGATAAATGCCTGCAAAAAACCCAAGCGGAAAGAATCTAAGTGAAGATAAGAAGATTTGAGAGAAGTTCAAATACATTTGTTTCAACCAATCACCTGCTCTTCATTGTTGCCATTCGCATAAGCCTCTAAAAAGTTGGTAGTGGGTGGGACAATGCCCTAGCACACAAAAGAAAGTACAACAGGATTCAGCGTAAAAAGTAATTCAGTTATATTGAGAATCTAAGTAATAAAGACCATATTGCAGTATCACAGCAATGGCATTATATTCTATACCTGCAACTGAACCATAAAAATACTATACATTTTGACATACTGCTTGTTGTAATACTCCCCAAAAGCAAGAGCAGCGACCTGTGCAACAATCAGAACTATTTTTAGGACAAAGTTTGGCATAATGTATTTTTTATTTCATAGGGCATATAATACCTCTGTCAGGCACTGAAGAGTGAGATTGCGGTAAGCCGTCACAGGAAAGAAATTTAGTAGTAGTTCAAGCTGCCAACCAGGAAACAAAATAAGGGCATAAATTTTAAGTGCACAACAATTTAATCCCAAAAATAAATACCAGACGCTGCACAAGCAACCACATGAAAGAAGAAATACAAACCAGCATGGATTCAAATATATAGCCCAGCGGAATCCACGAAAGAAAAGCATGCAATGTGGAAAGGGTAGCCCGCACGAGTTCAGCTCTTTGAGATGCAGACAATACGTATAAGCACAACTCATGAATGAGCTGGAATTCACTGTACACAAATATATTCCCAATTATAGATAAGATAAATGGAAATCACTCCACATTGAAAGCAATCATAAAACAGTCAACTAGATCCAGAAACTTGACGAAGAAAAAAACAATTGCCTTCAGGAGATATACAATGCAATTAGGAAAAACAAACATGTAAGTTATTAGGCCTCAAAATATTATCTAACGAAAATATATCAGCAGGTGTAACCTCGTAGTAGACAATATATCACTTCATTACCTGTTCAAGGATTGTTTTAACTCTTTAATCTTTTGTTGAGTCATTTCACCCCTTGAGAAGTCAAAGACCTCTTCGCTTAGAAGCTGGCAAAAGTAACATCTTCAAGTCAATTAGATGTTGATTGAAAGGTTTACAGAGAGGACAAATTTACTTACTTTCAGAATAACCATGCAATTCTCGCAGATGGTTTCACTTGTTTTTGCTGCGGCAACCAAGTCAGGGATGAAGCTCCGCCACCGAGCTGGCCACTCATGCTTCAGTATCTGAATATAAAATAATCACAATCTAGAAATTTAGTTCATGAAACCAAATCACAAGGGCTTTCTTTTTTTTTTAAAACACACAAGGATTCTTGAAATACACAAAAAAAAATGTGCATTGATTATGATCATTTGGAGGATTAGAAGATATTACCTGAACCAATATAATATTTAATTTATTGACATACAGCCTCTCCCTCCGGAAAGAGATATCGTCGCTTGAAAGCTAACAAAAAATTATCATATGGTGAAAACATAAGTATTTATACTCTCCCAGCCAGAAGTAACCCCAAATCATTGCCATAGAGGTGTGCATTTAGTTACCTTAACTATAACTTCAGAAATATAGTTTTTCATGCCATCTCGTTGTTCCGCGGGTAAAGCATTCCATCTATACTTGATAACACCTTCTAGAACCTGCATGTGGAAGTTTTGCAGATATTTGGTATGTAAAAAAGGCCCGTAGCTATAAAATTAAAAAAAAATATATAATAATAAATAAAATAAAAAATTCATAAATATCATGACAATACAAAACAGACCTGTAAAGCAAAAAATTTGGTGTTCAAATTCGTTGTATTACATAAAATGTGAACCACTTGAAGCCACATGTCTGGATTATTTTGCAAATCCCGCAAGATATGATCTGCAGCTGCTCTCTGTTAAAAAATGGCAACAGAAGAACACAAAAGGAGGTAAGTTCTCGGATATGCACAAAATTTATGTAAACTCAATAGAAGGCAAGGATTTTAGTCGAGGAGCTGGTTATTTAGCAGACAAGATAGAATCTCCTTTCAAGGACAAATTCTAGCAGCAAAATTAGTTAGACGTTGTAGAAAAACAGAACATATAATTACTAGCAAACAGATTCGCAGAAACCACATAAAGAAGATTTCAAAATTAACAGGACACAAATCACAATAAGTACACATAGAAAAGTCCAGATCTGAGAAGATACCATAACGAATATGAATATGCGTAGTTAATGAAGTGTTTGTAACATGATTAAGTTTCTTCACCATAAGAAGATTTACTTTTGCTAATTAAACAAGTCAACGGCCCCTATGCTATATACTTTTCCTGTGTTTCTCCGGATGACAGACAATACCAGCTCCTTGGTCTGTTTATTTCTACCACCTTTCTGCTATCTCTATTCGTCCTACATCACTAATTATACTTCTATATTCTATTTGGGAACTTTATTTCACCTCACTACAGAATTTCCTCCAACACCATATCTTCATGCATTACCACCCTTCGACAAATCTACTTCAGAGAGCATACTCCTCCATCCCAAATTTACTGCCTTCCTTTTGTTTCTCGGACATCCCAAAAATGGAACTCCATTTCCTAAGATGATTTTTTTTTCCAGAACCTAAGTCTCCATATAAACAATGATGTGTGCCGCAACTAAATGCACTAATAGTGTATAGTATGCAAAACTTACTCCAATGTAGCTTCCATCTATATCTCTGGATCAAGTCAAAATAAATTTTGGGACACATGGAGTACTAAATTTTACACATTTAAGATTGTTACCATCTAATCAAGCTGAATAAGAGTTGCCAATCTATAATATTGTAATGGTAACAAAAAATGAAAACTTATTTATTATTTGGACGTCAATTTTGATGTATGCAGAAATTGCTCTACTTGACATATATTCTTGTTGAGTAACATTTGTGAAGTTATATAACTGTACAACAAAGAAAAGGAAAAACGTATTAAGCGAATACAGAGATTCAGGTTGGATTGCCCCCAATCTCATGCATTTGCAATGAATATAACCATAAGTCGAGGCATAACAAGGTAACTCATTTACTACCAGCGTACAACTATTATAGCGATTCGAAAATCACAAAGGTTATTCAGTCGTAAGATCAAGTCAAGTTAATAAATTCCCATTTATAGTTACCACAATTCATTTTGCAAAGTCTACAAGATAACCGTAGATCAAGACGAGTAACTTTATGGCCCTTACATTTTTCACCATTTAAGATTTTTTTCCTCCCTCAAGGAACTACAAACCCTTGATGACAATTCAATGCATACCCACACATCAGGGAAAAATAACGAGAGCTATTATATCAAGGTGAAATTTACAAAATGTACAAGAAATAACCGCACAAATCACAAAAAGCAAATCATGTGCGCTGTGAGATGGTGTTACAACTTCCGTAAACATTTTAACTGCTAAAAGATTGACGGATATTTCATGTGAGCTAAAGATACCACCAACATGCACGCAAGAAGCAAACTGATTGGGAAAAAAAAGTTCTTACCAAATATGATTGATTTAACACTTCTAATCCCCAAAGTTAAGGTGTAAGCCCTAACTAGTTAGCCCCAAAATGTCATACAGAATAAGTTTTTACCATCAAATAAATTAAAGAATGCTGCACTGGTGCAGAACTAGTTCTAGTCAATCTTTACAAATTGAAGTAACGATTTCAGACATAATTCAGTAAAATGCCAATGCCACTGTTCTCAATGACGGACGACATTCAACCACAAACATGTTCACATGAACCAGATACACCATGTTATCATAAAATGTGCAATCCTCTATTCTAAAAATGCATTGGTTCCACATTAAAAAAAAATAACAATAATTATAAGTAAATGCTGCGAAAACACCTTTAAGTATCAGAAACAATTTAATTTTCTCAGGGTTTTTGCAAAAACAAATCAAATTCTCGAACAACCAATGAGGCAAACACACGCAAAAAAAAGTTTTAGGGCCAACAGAAAACCAGGAATAAACAAAAAGGCAAAATAAAAAGAAAAAAAATGCCCCATACCTCCTCTTGAGATCCAGTTCCGTAAAAAGCATCAACAGTAGCGTCGAGCAAAGCGACGTCCATTGGCTGACTTAAATCTCTGAGCTTGTCGGCCGCCATTGAAGAGAGAGAGAGAGATCGTGCTTGAATTCAAAATTAAAACCCTAGGACAAAAACTCACTGATCCAAAAACCTAAAACCTAAGTGCAATTGCACCGATAAACCAAACCTCCGAATATATATGAGAGAAAAGGGAGGGAGAGAAGAGGGGGAAGGACTGAGTTGGAAATAAAAAAAAGACAGCTTCAAATTGAAGCAGAGTGGTTTTAGAGAGAGAAAGTGAGAGGGACTTTGAAAATCGTTTTAGCCCTTCCCTCCCCTTTTATACTAGAGAGAGAAACACAGACGGGATGGGTATAGAATATAGATAGTTGTAATTTGTTAATTGAATTTATGAATAATTATTATTAAAAAATATATATTATATATTCGAAAAATGCAAATAAATGCACAAGACTCATTAATATAAGGTGGAAATACCAAAAAAATATTGAAAAATAATAAGTATTTAACGATTAAGTGGAAAAAATACGTATCCGATTATGAAGTTTATTATAAATATCGGATTATTTCATAATCGGATTTCATGAGATAAATGGGGCTTTAGGAAATCAAATTAAACCTATTTGGGCCGGGCTTTTTAATTAGACGGGCCGATGTTTGTCCTGGGCAATCTATAAACTCGGCAATTTATTGATAATAGGGTAAATTACGAAAACCCACCTGAACTTAAGTTAAATAACGAAAAGCCCCACACCTATTCATAATTATCAAAAACTCCTTGAGATTTGTTTACGTCTTCCACCAGCCCCTTACAGTGTGACATTTCATGGATTTGTTTTGATTTCAGGGAATAGATTTTACCCAATTTCAGATATTTTCTTTTATTTCTCACCTATTTAACTGAAAGTATAATAGTATAATAGACTGTACACATTTTATGTTGAAAAACTCGATCACCATTTAATCAAAGGGGCATTTTGGTTATTACGCATAGGTGGGGTATATTTTGTTATCTAACTTAAGTTTAGGGGGGTTTCGTAATTTTACCCTTGATAATATTGGATAATGTAGATAAATATAATCAATCGGCTTTCAACAAATCAATATATTTCTAAGGCCTAGTTAATGAATGTTGATGAAATTGTAACATTGATTAAAATGGATATGATTAGATTGTATGTAACAATATAGTATTTAAGTAACTTATAATTGAGATTTCTAGTTATGTAATCCATGTATTAGGTTAGACTCAATATCGCACTCGTAGATTTGATTAAGTTTTGAGTTTGCTTTTAGTGACGTGTGTTGAATTTAAACCTTGAATATTTGGTATATTTCGATTATTTTGAATTCAATGTTTTCGATCTTAACTATTAACGCACATATTTTCCTTTTGCAAGCAAATCAATGATGACATGTGATGGGTGGACTAAATCCACGTTTTGCATAAGCTTTACTCTTGCAAGCATGCTATGATTAGATCGATTAAGAGCTCGATGAATTTTTTTTAAACAGTTGATAAGCTCTTATATTTTATAAGCTGTTTTAGGAGCTGATAAACTGTTACGTCTTGTTTTTTGAATTAATATTTAAAGTATTTGAAGAATGAGCTCGTATACTATTTTCACTAACTACAAGATTTTAAATAAAAATGTGGGTAGAAGTATTTTTTTAAAAGAACTTATTTGCTCTCCGGCAACTTATTTTTGAATTTTTAAGATTTTTTTGAAAAAAATTACCATCCACTTTGGAATAGCTCTTTAACATCTTATAAAATCTTTTTAACAACTTATAAGTTTAGCCAAACACGAGGTTCACATATTACAATAATTTGAAGTTATTTATAAAAAAATAAAAATTATTTGTAGTCATTTCAAATTCATTACTTTCAAAATTTTCAATTAAAATATATTTTTTTTTCTAATAAAATGTGGATTAATAAAATATGCCCCTTTGACTGAAATTTTATCTAGAATTATGCCACCAATAAAATAAAGGGGTCCAAATATAATTAGCCTAACTTAGTGGTTCGGAATGCAATTTCGTCATAAATTGTGTCAGGTTGTGTTATTTTATACAATTTCATTCTGTGCTAAAAAAATTCCGCAACTCTCTCTCTCTCTCTCTCTCTCTCTCTCCACACACACCTGAGCTCCGAGCAATGGCGACCTTCGGGAGAAGAAATGGATTGACAATAGCGACGCAGCTCATGAAAACCCTAACCGGATCCTCCAATTCCAGAAGCCTCAGCGGCATCGTTAGCAGCGAGGTCGTCACCTCTCACACCCAAAAATGGATGCAGGTACTCAATTCTGAAATCACCTCTAAAATTGATGTCTTGTCTGATGAAAATATTCAATTATACCAGAGTTTCGATTTTTTTTTTTTTTTTTGTAGTGAGATTATATGATTGTTTTAATTGATTTAAAATCTGGAATTTGTGCAATTTAGATATGAAGATCTGTAATCATTTATATCTATTGTTTCTATTAAATTTTCTTCTTGTTCGTCCGACCGGAGATTTTGTATTCCCTTTTCCAAAGATTGAGAAACTTTTGGGCTTGATATGCCCTCTATTTATGTATATATGTGTGTATGTATGTATGTATGTATGTATATGTGTAGAAAGATGTTTGCTTTGGGGTAATCTCGCCAATTCAACCCTAATTTCATGTCTTCAGTCTTTGTTACTTGTGCAATTTTCGAATTCTTTTTTCACCATGAGTACATGAAAACAGAAGACGGGAAACCTGTTTAGGTCGGAGTAGTGAAGCATGAAATCGTGTTTCAAGGTAAAATTGTTAATCAGTAATAACTGATAAGTGCATAGAACTTTCCCTTTTCTTGCTTGTTTGCTTTATTGCGGGTAGACCTTTATATATCTCCCCAACTGGTTCATTGAGAAGAGTTCGCGAAAACTCGAAACAGGATAACTAAAATCTATCTAGCTACTTGAATAGTTAATTGTTCAAAAATTGTCTGGATAAGTGGGATAATTCAGGATCATCACTGGAGAACTACCCATTATTTATACACGACTCAGCTGTGTGAATGACAACCATCAATAATGCTTACTGTGTGAGTTACAATAAAAAAGAAAAGTTCTGAGCATTTAGGTGATGTGATGAATATGGCAAATATGCAATCTGAAGCCGTCTACTATTAAGCTATCAGAAAACTCATTCCTTTTGTTGTATCAGCTATAGGAAATAAAATTAGGTCGGTATGTGTTTAGAGTAACATAACCCGTAAATCCGTAATACAGCACTCACTTTTCGATATTAGCTATATTGAAGCAAGATAGATGTGGATTATGTTGATAGAAAACCCCATACCAGACTCGCAAGCTCTTTCGTAGCCTCGTCTTTAACCTAATGAGTGCATTCTGAAAATAAAGACCAATCTTTCGCCCCTTCTGGTTGCTAACTGTATGTCGCTTTTCTGACAATACTGTCAATTGTCGTTACAAGTATGCATGTCTGATGAATCATCTTCTTGGTATTTGATTGTGAATGAGTACTAACACTATTACTCTCTCTCATATCCTTATTATTTGTTTTGTTCGGTACTGATTTAGGATACAAGTAAAAAGTCTCCAATGGAGTTGATCAATGAAGTTCCACCTATCAAAGTAGATCACAGGATTGTTGCTTGTGAAGGAGGTATGCCTACCATTTTACCGCAAAAATTTCAGTTCCACTCAAGTAATTAAAATAAAATTAGCAGAATATCTGCTAAAATATGTTTCTATTAGCAGAATATGATCCTATGATCCTCGGATAATATTCGGCCTCATCTATTTTCATTTATTTTTTACCGTTTCCCGTCTATTGCAGATAACGACCCGGCACTTGGGCATCCAATTGAGTTCATATGTCTCGACAAGGCCGAGCCAGCTGTGTGCAAGTATTGCGGTCTCCGTTACGTGCAAGACCATCATCATTAGACACTTCAAGTCAATGGTTTTTAGTTCATTGAAAGTTTATGACCAATTGTTTTAAGGTGTAATTTCCGTATTAACATGGTGTTATGGCATTGTCTGCCATATGTTCAAATAAGGATTCAACCAAACACTCAATGGAATTTTCCCTGCTCAAATGAAATTGCATTATTTCAACCAATCGACATTGTGATTTGAATTTATTACAGAAGTATTTTGGTTTTTTGAAAATTTTGCTCAAAAAGTCAGCATCAATGAATAGTAAAATTATTTCATTAAATCTACCCAATGAATAGCTCACCCTTTCGGGTCCTAAACTATGCGCGAACCAAAATTCCCCGAGGGAAAACAATTAACCACCGTGTTCCCAGAATAAAAAAAAAAAACCGGGCCATTACAAACTTCTATTTTTAAATCATACTGCCAAATAATACAATTAAATCAAAAGAATTCAACTCACTCAGCAACTTCTCCAGTTCCAGCAAGTTTCTTTCTCTGCTGATGCTCGGCAGCTTTATAGTCCACCACTTCCCTAAACAGACTCGCATCCAACACACAGTCCTCACTGCCATAAACCGCCGCCTGAACACTCGCCATAAGCTTGGCTATCTCTCTACCCGAAAATCCCTCAGTCTTCGCAGCAGCTTCCTTAATAATCTCGTCACTAACTCCCTTAATCTCAATCTTCTGCTGCTGTTTCTTGAACAAGTTTGAAAACAGGCCCGGTTTTCTCGCCCCTGCTTGCGCTATGTATCTGTCCAAATACAGCTTAAGCAGCTTAAATCGTTCGTCTTCACCTGGTAATGGAAATTCCAAGACTTCATCAATTCGATCCGACACAGCAGAATCGAGATCGCCAGGCCGATTTGTGGCGAGTGCGAGAACTATGTCCTTTGATTGGTCGCCTGTTCGGTATAGGAGTGCGTTGAGCGCGCTCCTTTGGGCTTCACTCATGTAGGTTTTGTTTCGCCTGAATTTAATAGAACATTCAGAGGGTTAGTAAGTATTGACAATTTTATTTTCTTCTGGAAATTATCTGCCGAATTTCTTTTTCAGGGATTTTTACTTACTCGCACAAGAATGCATCTGCTTCGTCAATGAAAAGCAACAAGCCCCTGTTGGATTTCTTGGCCCAATCGAAGAGCTGGTGTATCTTTGTAACAGCCTGCGAGCCAAGTGGCGCCACGTCACCTCCAGTCATCAGTGCGTAGTCAAGGCCCTAAAAGCAAAGTAGATGGTCAGACAGTAGACACTGAAATTTCAATAAACATACACATCCATCAATTATTACCATGATTCTTTCAAGCCTCTGTTCTAAACCGAAGCTTATAGAATGAATAAGCTTATGTTCACTTTTTCTCATAATTAATTTGTTTAATTCCAGGCACTAATCATTTCCTAATTATGAGCAAGCCATTTGATACAGATTAATATTTAACCCAAATACCAGAATAACTAGTTCCAAAAGAAAAGAAAAAGGTAATAATGTCATACAGATTTACGGGCAAGCTCCCTAGCAGCCATTGTCTTCCCTGTTCCTGGAGGACCATAAAAGAGCATGTTTCTAAACGGCGCCTGATGAGCTTTTGTATTTGCTGTCGCACTAGCCAACTGTTGAATCCGTTTTTGGAGAGAAGGGTGTAAAATAACATCACCAAAACCATTTCCATTTTGGGAGGTGGAACTTTTATTAGCAGCACCAGAAAGTGCACTCATGGAACGCGAGAGCAATCCAGACCACGGGTATTTCCCTCGAGAAGATTCTCGGATTAGAGATGGTTGTCCTAATATTCTGTCCACGTAACTCCAAATCACACGAGCACCTTCTCTGAAAACCCACAAGGCAGATTTTATGTTATGTGCTTGAAAAAAAGCTGATGATAAAACTAACCACCGAAAACCATGGAGATGTGGTATAGATGCCACTACCCCTTGAAAATAACTTTTATTGCCGAGAAACTATTATGCTCTAGGATATGAGACACAATAAACTAATTATCAGACATGATGGCCATATATATACTGTTTACATATACAATAATAATCATTTACCATGACCATGAGCATCAAAATGTTAAAATATTTTTTTTTCGAAAACCATACCAAATGCAGAAATTCTGCTTATCAGGTCTATGCCTGGATCACGGGAAGTGACTGAAAAAAGAAAAATGAAATATGGCATGTTTTATTCACCTTTCAGTCAAATGGGCTTTTACATGTGAATGTAGACAATATAATGCACTACACCTCTTTTGTATTCTAAGGTTGACATTCCAAAATGATATAGTGGGGTGGTCGTGTAGACTCCTGCTGCTAGAGCCGTTACCCCTGCAACAGCTACAACCAGTTTATTCTGATCTGTTAAAATAGCTCGCATACCCCCTGCATTTCATGGAACAGTAACTTTAAAAAAGATGACGAAACATGTTAAAACAGTAGCCAGGCATAAAAACTGAACAATGTTCAGAAGTGTATGGAACATTACAGTTTTTCTTCTAATATTATGTAGCAATATTTGCATAAACAACTAACCAACTTATCGATTGAGCATGTAAATCTAGATCAGATTGTCCAATAATAGCAAAGTCAGAAAAGCTATAAAGTGAATCCTAGATAACTATCAGCAATTACTCAAAAGAGAGAAGATGCGATGCATAAGGTAAATGCTAGTTATTTTAATGTCTAAAAGGATAAATAGTAGAAAGGAGAAAGCAACAAAACCCAACAACGATAACAAAAGACAATTCATTTTTTTTTTTTTGAGGAAAAAAAAAATTAACCGATGAGAAAAAAAAACCTCCAATGTGATCAAAAGTCGTGTTAATAGCAGCGACCCATTTCTCCCGCTCTGCATTTGCACGTTCGACAAGCATTCTTCTATTAACATCCTCTGCAAGTTTAGCTTCGTGGGCTCTTCCCTCTGCTTCTGCAATAGCCCTAACCCTTATAGTTTCACGCTCTATCTCAGCCTTCTCCCTTTCAGTTTGGCGACGTTGTGCTTGAATTTGTTCCTCGGATGCTCGTCTAGCTGCCTCTTGCCTCATAGCTGATTCCTCTTGCATTTTTACGAGTTCTTGATTTCTAGCTCTTTGATGTTCGTTCTCTGCCTGAAAAAACAATTGGTATTATATCATCTGTATATTTATTGGAATTGCTTGGCTACTTCCTTTGCATATGAAACGAAGGGATCAGTTACCTGCATCCTTTTTCTGGCCAATTCATCCTCGTACCTAGCCATCTGAGATTTTATTTGTGCTTGTTGCTGAGCAAGCTTTTTCTGTTCATCGTAAATTACCCTTTGTCTCTCCTGCCAAGATTCGGAAGCCATATTAGTTAACAGTAGCACATATTACAGAAAAAGGTGAAAAATTTAACAGCTCGTATTACATTAGGGTTGCTCTCAATAATCGCATAGAAGTACATTTAAGTCAATAAACACAAGACCTAATCAGGGATATCAATCACACATAACAAACATACCTAACAAACTCACGCTTTTTTTTAGAGGATGGATCCATGGACTAGTCAACAACAACAACAATAGCAAATTGAACTTCTTCTAAGTTCAGACGAAGAAAATGGTAGCAAAGGAGCAAAAAGCAACAGCAAAAATAATGAAGCTTACCGCTTCAGCTTGAGCTTGCAATGCCTTGAACTCCGCTGATTTTGAGGAAAACTCTTGTTGTCTTGTTTCTTCTTGCTTTTTCATCACTTCGAATGCCTACACCAAAAGAAATCTCGAATGAATTCACAGCACATCATCAGCTTCGAACGAATTAATGACATCATTTCCCACCCACCCACACATTTTCCACAACTAAAGATTGTAAATCTAATTTTACACAGCCACTAAGATAAACCATGAAGTAAACCACACACACTCGCCCAATTCAATCGCAAATGCAAATAAAATTTAATATCCCCAGTACCTATTCAAGTTTCAATCTTTGAGCAGAAAATCAACAAAAAATAGGAGAAGAAAAGCAAATTTCAAAAACCTTCTTAGCATGTGAAGAACTAGTAATCTCCTTCAAAGCCTTGACCCCCCTTTCCAATGCCTCGGGGTCGAACCCAGCAGACGTAGTCCTCGGATGATCATTGCGAACCCGCGGTGGCTCGGCCGCCGCCGGCTCAGATGGCGGCTTAGCCGGCTCCGAAGTCGGCTGCTGAGCAGCTGGTGGCGCTGAAGAAGAACTGCCAAATGGGGAAAAATTAAAGGGCCCATCTGCATAAGCACGATCAACGCCAAAAGTAGCATAAGCTAGGGTAGCTAAAACCCCTGATGCACAATTTTTAGCCATCGGAGAAAAAAAAAATTAATCAGTTAATTGTGCAGATTGGTAATGGATTATTGTGGTTTGGAGAGTGCATAAAACTGAAAAATGAAGAGCGGTGAAGAAATTTGCTTGGAGAAGAAGAAAAGAGGGAGTATTGGCGAAGACGCCAATCAATTGGGGGTTTTGGGGGAATAGAAGTTCCAGGGTTTATGTAGGGTTTGTTATTTTTAATTTATTTTTCCTGAATTACAAATTTGGGGGTTTTGGTTTGTTGAACAAACAAGCGGTGAGGTGCAGTCGTGTAGATAGTGTAAGTATACGGTTCAAGATCCAACGGGTCGGCCCGTGAGATGACCCGTTATTTGCTTTATTTATTACTCTTGAATTTTGTGTTGGGGGGAATTATCATTTTACTAATTTGTTGAGTGGTAATTATGTAATTACTGGTATATTGAAGTTTATTAATTATTTGTTGTCAGACAGTTCCTTAATTGGCCGGCAGTTTTGTTGTTATTTGGTGAGTGACGGTTCTGTAATTATTTGGTGAGTTACGATATCAGGACAAGAAAATGAAAGACCGACTTTTGAAAACAAAAGTTAAAGATTCACATCTCGTAATCCACATCAAAATTAAATTTTCATTCACATACTCATTGTCGTTCACTCCATCGGCGACCATGAAAATTCCCAAAGTCAGGTTTTTTTCTTTCATAGTATTATGTAAATTTAGTGCAGGATTTAACATTTCAGTATTATTAATTATTAGGGTAAATTGCAACCACCCCTCAGGTATAGTTAAATTACGAAAACTCCCCTCATGTTTGAGTAATTACATCTATCCCCCTCAACTTACACGTTCACCCTTGTTGTTTCATATTTTGTGGAATCTTTTATATTATATGGAATATTCTCAATTTTGGACCCATTTTATCTCATTCGAGCTCCACATTTTGAAGCTAGATGATCATTAGATGTGCTTTTTGGTTTGTATATATCAGATTGTGGTGCATCAGAAACTATATTTTTGCACAAAACGAGCTCAAACCAGAAAACATTGCACGGAATCTGGATGATTATGTTGAATTTGATAAGGATAAAAATGTAAGAAGATTCATATTTGAGGGAGGCATATATAATTATCCAAATATAATGGGGTTTTTTCGTTATTTAACCATAGCTTAAGGGTGGATGTAATTTACCATATTAGTTATTAAAGATCGACGCCACATGTCTTTCGATTCAAAAGTTGGGCCTGAGCCCATATATGAATAAATGGCTAGATTATTAATCAGGCAATTTAAAAGTTGGACTTGGATCCACGGAAAGTATAGGGGATGTTTGTTTCTATTTCCAAAATAAATTTCCAGTTTTATACTATACTTAAAACTGGGATTATGTTTGTTTGTGACTTTTCACTTGAAAATTCCTATTTTTCTTAAAACAATTTCCAATAGAAATACACTATTCATATTTTTCTAACTTTTCAAACCTATAATAATACCTACTAATCTATTTCTCCCTCCTCCATTTTTTCTCCCATCTCATCAATAATAATAATATTAATATTATTAATATTAATAATAATAATAATAATAATAATAATAATAATAATAATAATAATAATAATAATAATAATAATAATAATAATAATAATAATAATAATAATAATAATAATAATAATAATAATAATAATAATAATAATAATAATAATAAAAATCATAATAATAATTATAATAATAATAATAATAATAATAATAATAATAATAATAATAATAATAATAATAATAATAATAATAATAATAATAATAATAATAATAATCACCTTCATCTTCCCCAATCATTATATTCTACTTTTGCACGTACTTTCGTAGAGAAAATTGCCACAACCAAACATATTCTCATTTCTACACCTACATAAAACTAAAAATATCACTCCATCCAAACATATTCTCATTTTCTACACGAAAACCAATACATCTACTTTTTCCATCAGAAATTTTGAAAATTAGAAGTTGCCGTTGGAAACATAACCAAACATCCCCGATGGTGGCAGCATTTTTCCACCTAGAGGTGGTGAATTAATAGATGATCAAATTGTTGAAGTAGCCCTCTTCGTACATTCATTTTTTCTTTATTTAATTTAACAAGATATGAGATGAAGTTCAGCTCGAAATAAAAAATCAATAGTAACGGTGGCTTCTCCAAAAAATATATGTATATATTTATAATTCGTTAATGTAAAAATTATTACTTCATGTGCAATTTATTAATGGCTGCGGCTATATGCAAGACTAATTACACTTGTGCAAGACCAAATTAAAAAATTTAATGTATAAATACTATAATACCCTTATTTATTAAAAAAATAAAAAATTTCCAAATATGCAAGACCAAAAATTCAAAAACACAAAAAACCCTATCACAAGATGTCGATTTTGAGGTATAAAATTCGACATTTGAATTTGTGCTATAAATTCGACATGTCAATGTCGATTTTTACCTATGAAATTCGACGCTTAAGTGTCGATTTGTAGCATAGTTTTTCGACACCTTGGTGTCGATTTTTGTTTTTTTCTCATTATTTGTATTTGGTCTTACATGAGAAAAAAAAAACTAATTTAATTTATGGGCATACTTGTCATTTCATCTTAATAAAATAGAATCTTTTGGAATCTTTTTTTAATTTGGTCTTGCACAAGTGGAATGAGCATTGCATATAGCCGCAGCCTTTATTAATTACTAACCATGGCTTCTCCAAAAAATAACATATATTTAATTGAATAAAATGGATATATATTACACTTCAAACAATTTATGTGGGAATAACAACTAAAATAAAAAAAGCAGAGTTGATGATCATGATACAAATGTTCAGTTTTCACTTGCGCTACTCCGGAGATTTCATCACAGTCACACGATTTATACATCCGCAAGGCGATATTTTAAATAAATAGTGCACGACGAGGCAGTAAGTAGTAGTACAGTATTAATTTCATCTCCAGAAAAGAATAATAATAATAAATTACTTTAAAAATAAAATTTATATATGTAGTAATAATATTAATGAATGTAATGATCAAGAAGTAGGTGCTGCAAGTTTGGCTCTCAAATCTTTCCTCAAAATTTTACCAGCTGGTGATTTGGAAATTGCATGAACAAAGTACACTTTGTGCAATCTCTTGTAGAACACCACTTGTTTCGACACGAATTCTTTTACCGTTTCTTCCGTTAGTTCGAACCCATTCGACGGAACCACAAACGCCACTGGTAGTTCACCCGCAGCCTCATCTTTTTGCCTGTTTCATTTAAAACCATTCAAATTTAATTTCATCGATCGATAAAAATCGACTTTTTTTAAGAAAAACTATTTTAAGGAACTTACGATACAACTGCGCGCGGCCTCATCGTCATTCAAATACCCTGAAACACAATATTATTTATATTAATTAGAAATTATAAACTTCCGAGTAACCGTTACAAATTAAAATAGACAAACAATGTATAATTACCTTTCAGAATTTGAGGTCCACGTATACAAATTTCACCGGGCTAGTTGTGAAGGAGAGAGCAGCCAGTTTCCGGGTCGACCACTTTGAGCTCAGCATTACGAACCACATTGCCACACGAGCCCAATTTCGTGGGTAATGGCTGCTTTGCGAAAGAAGGTGACATAGATAATACAGAACCCGCCTCGGTCATGCCATAACCCTACATACAACAATTACAAACACCATTTTCAAAAGGGCAAATGGCAAAAAGGCCCATCACATGGGACTTAAATGCATTTTGGTCCACAAAAAAAACAGTCTATCAATTAAGCCCATCCCCATGTCTTTAGTCTAAAATACCCTCAATAATATAATTCTTATCAATTCCACCCAATATGATCTAACTTCCTTAATATTACACATTGACCCCGGATTTAAACAAATATATCACATTAACCCCCAAAACTTTTTTTTTTCAGAAAATAATTTTTTTTCTGAAATGTTTTTTTTCCGGCCAGATTCCGGCGTTGACCGCCGGAGACCGCCGGTCTCCGGTCTTGACTTTTTTTTTTTTTTTTTGAAATTTTTTTTCCGGCCGGTCAACCACCGTTGACCGGCGGTCTCCGGCGTTGACTTTTT